ATTGGAAAGATGCCAATCATGCTCAAGTCCAAGTACTGTATCCTCAAGGATTTGAGCGAGCAAGCTCTTTACAACTGGAACGAGTGCCCTTACGACTCTGGTGGTTATTTCATTATCAACGGAAGTGAAAAGGTGTTGATCGCCCAAGAGCGCAGTGCTGGAAACACGGTTCAAGTCTTCAAGAAGGCACCGCCTAGTCCCACGCCCTACGTCGCGGAAATTCGGAGTGCTGTCGAGAAGGGATCAAGACTTCTTTCTCAGTTGTCCCTGAAGCTGTTTGCCAAGGGTGACAGTGCCAAGGGTGGATTTGGTCCTACAATTCGGTCGACCTTGCCTTACGTGAAGACCGACATCCCCATCGTCGTCGTTTTCAGAGCCCTCGGTGTGGTTTCTGATGAAGATATTCTGAACCACATTTGCTACGACCGGAATGACACACCGATGTTGGAGATGCTGAAGCCTTGTATTGAGGAAGGTTTCGTTATCCAGGATCGTGAGGTGGCGCTGGATTTCATTGCCAAGCGTGGTTCTTCTCAGTCTAGTATGAACCACGAGCGTCGTGTCAGATACGCACGCGAAATCATGCAAAAGGAGTTCCTTCCCCACATTTCTCAGAGCGAAGGTAGTGAGACCCGGAAAGCCTTCTTCTTGGGTTACATGGTGCACAGACTTCTGCAGTGTGCCCTCGGCCGTCGTGATGTCGATGATCGTGATCACTTTGGTAAGAAGCGTCTCGACTTGGCTGGTCCTCTTCTTGCAAACCTCTTCCGAGTTCTGTTCACTCGTGTCACCCGTGACCTTCAGCGGTACGTGCAAAGATGCGTGGAGACGAACAGGGAGATCTACTTGAACATTGGTATCAAGGCTAGCACCTTGACAGGAGGTTTGAAGTACGCTCTTGCTACGGGTAACTGGGGAGAGCAGAAGAAGGCAGCCAGCGCCAAGGCTGGTGTATCTCAAGTGCTCAGTCGTTATACCTACGCCTCTACGTTGTCTCACCTTCGTCGTACCAATACACCAATTGGTCGAGACGGTAAGATCGCCAAACCTCGTCAGCTCCACAACACCCATTGGGGTCTGGTTTGTCCAGCTGAAACCCCTGAAGGTCAGGCTTGTGGTCTGGTCAAGAACCTGGCGCTCATGTGCTACATCACTGTTGGTACGCCTAGTGAGCCCATTATTGATTTCATGATTCAACGAAACATGGAAGTCCTCGAAGAATTCGAGCCGCAGGTGACGCCAAATGCGACCAAGGTGTTTGTCAACGGTGTTTGGGTGGGTATTCATAGAGATCCTGCGCATCTGGTGAACACCATGCTCTCTCTCCGTCGCCGGAACATGATCTCGCACGAGGTCAGTCTGATTCGTGATATTCGTGAGCGAGAGTTCAAGATCTTTACCGATGCTGGACGCGTGTGTCGGCCACTGTACGTCGTCGACAATGACCCCAAGAGCGAGAACTGTGGTTCACTGGTGCTCAACAAGGAGCACATCCGCAAACTGGAGCAAGACAAGGATTTGCCCCCCGATCTGGATCCAGAAGACCGCAGGGAGCGCTACTTTGGTTGGGATGGTTTGGTGAAGTCTGGTGTCGTTGAGTACGTCGACGCCGAGGAAGAAGAGACAATCATGATCGTGATGACACCAGAGGACCTGGAGATCTCGAAGCAACTTCAGGCCGGTTATGCCCTTCCCGAGGAGGAGCTGCACGACCCCAACAAGCGTGTGCGTTCTATTCTGAGTCAAAAGGCACACACCTGGACACACTGCGAGATTCACCCCAGTATGATTCTGGGTGTTTGCGCCAGTATCATTCCTTTCCCCGACCACAACCAATCTCCTCGTAACACCTACCAGTCTGCCATGGGTAAACAAGCTATGGGTGTGTTCCTGACGAACTTTGACCAGCGCATGGAAACCATGGCCAACATTCTGTATTACCCGCAGAAGCCTCTGGCGACAACGCGGTCTATGGAATTCTTGCGGTTCCGTGAACTGCCTGCCGGCCAAAACGCCATTGTTGCCATTGCCTGTTATTCCGGTTACAACCAGGAAGATTCGGTTATTATGAACCAGAGCAGCATTGACCGTGGTCTTTTCCGCAGTCTGTTCTACCGTACATACACGGACAGCGAGAAGATGGTCGGACTGACAGTTGTCGAACGCTTCGAGAAGCCTATGAGATCGGATACGATCGGTATGAGAAAGGGTACCTACGACAAGCTCGATGAAGATGGTATCATTGCTCCTGGTGTCCGTGTATCCGGTGAGGATATCATCATCGGTAAGACGGCACCTCTGGCACCCGAAGCAGAGGAGCTCGGTCAACGTACCAAGGCCCACACCAAGTTGGATGTGTCGACTCCTCTCAGAAGTACGGAGAACGGTATTGTGGACCAGGTCCTGGTGTCTACGAGCAACGATGACCTGAAGTTCGTGAAGGTGCGCATGAGGACGACCAAGATTCCACAGATTGGAGACAAGTTCGCCTCTCGTCACGGACAAAAGGGTACCATCGGTATCACTTACCGTCAGGAAGACATGCCTTTCACTCGAGAGGGTGTGTGCCCTGACTTGATCATCAACCCTCACGCCATTCCCTCCCGTATGACAATCGCGCACTTGATCGAGTGTCAGCTCAGTAAAGTGTCGTCGCTACGTGGGTTTGAGGGTGACGCGACGCCTTTCACCGACGTTACGGTCGACTCGATCTCCCGTCTCTTGCGGGAGCACGGATACCAGTCCCGTGGCTTTGAGGTGATGTACAACGGACACACTGGACGCAAGCTGGTTGCGCAGGTCTTCCTGGGACCGACGTACTACCAGCGTCTGCGCCACATGGTCGACGATAAGATTCACGCCCGTGCGCGTGGACCGACTCAGATCTTGACGCGGCAGCCGGTGGAAGGTCGTGCTCGTGATGGTGGTCTCCGATTCGGAGAGATGGAACGCGATTGTATGATTGCGCACGGAGCCAGTGCATTCCTGAAGGAGCGGTTGTTCGACGTGTCCGATCCCTTCCGGGTGCACATCTGCGACGACTGTGGCTTGATGACGCCTGTTGCGTAAGTGGAGAGACATCCTTGAATTTGCCTGACGATATGAGCTAACGATGATGGAATGACAGAAAACTGAAGAAGGGACTCTTCGAGTGTCGACTGTGTAACAACAAGCACCGAATCTCCCAGGTGCATATCCCGTATGCAGCCAAGCTTCTGTTCCAAGAGCTGGCCTCGATGAACATTGCCGCTCGCATGTTTACCAACCGGTCTGGCGTGTCCGTGCGGTGAGGGGGAGGAAAGATGACTATCCGTGTACATCAGATTCTTCTCTTCTGTGGTATCTCTTCCGTTTTCTGGTGTTTCTATGCCTTTTTCTCCCTTCTCCCTCTCCGTTTCTTTCCCCCTTGTTTTTCTTTCCTAATAATTCTCCACCCCCCAAAACGTGTGATATCAACCGAAGACCAGACCGATTCGGCATTTTCCGGCGTACAGAGGACCAGAGGTTTATGATTTTGATTCGAGCTTCTATATATTGTTATTTATTTTTTTTGCCTCCCCTCTTTCCTTTTTTTGCTGACCATGGTTGGAGGAATGGCTGGTGTAAGCAGCGATGTACTTGGATGATGATGATTTGTCCCTACGGAATCGAAACGAAATTGGATCTAAAGAAGCAGACGAAGAAGAGGGGTAAAAGATGTCATGGCAATTCTGCACGTAAGAGCCGGTCATGACAGGGTCTCAATCGGGGCAGATGCTGCATGGTGTAATTGTAGTGGAGAGTCAGTGGAGAGGGTGTAGAGTGTGTATAGTAGTGTTTTGCTTCTCTCAGTGGTGGGATGGCGTCCAACCCCCTCCTCAATCCCGTGCACGAACTTTAAAATTCCTCGGTGCTGCAGAATGGAGATGTCGGTGACAGGCCGTCTCCCTTCCTGTGTGAGTGCGATTGGCTAAGGGGGTTTCTATTGATAGGTGGGATGGCTCGGGAGAATGTGCTCGTGGAGGGCGGCAAGTGAAGAAAAGCATGGCGATGGAGATGGAGGGGAGATGGAGGGACGATGGATGGGCGAGTCGTGAGAATGGTTGGTTGTCTGCTGCAGGCCCGGCTGCCCTTGAAGCCAATGAAACCAACGAATTACCCGCCGGCTGGGATGGCGAGAGGACGAAGCGGGGATTTGACTGGCGAAGAGCTGCTCTCGCTCTTCCCAGAATAGAAGATGGCGGGTGACAATCCCATCACACGCATTGCACTAACTGAGTACAGTAGTTGACTCTCTACCGGGCTCTCTCGTCTGCTCGTTTCCCTCCCCCCCGGCGCTCTCTTAAAAGGCTGCTGTAGCCGCCAGGGCGTTCTCTGCCCTTTCTTCTCTTTCTTTCTTCAGCAAGCTTGCTTGTCTGACTGCCCGTGGTTTAGAAGTATCCCCCCTGTGCACTGGCTGCACTGGTTTTTTGTTTGTTTGTCCATTCGTCGCTTGTTATACTACATCTTAATTATTCCCCTCACCTTTTTACTATCAATATATCAAAAAATCCCCCACCAATTTCCCCTCAACTCTGCCCCATTCAATACACGAGCTGTGCTCTGTGTAATGCTTGATTGCTTTTATTGCATCTTGTTCGGATACTTCTAAACCATTCAACCTCGTGACGGTTCATTTCGTTGTCGCCGGTCGACTTCTCGTGTTCCTGTCATATCAGCTCAGACGACTTGCTGGCCTTGTCCTTTATTCTTTCCAACAACAACATCTATCTAATATTCCTGGTTGCGTGTCAAGGACTGGATCCTGTCAAGCAAAGCCTCGTTGTTATACATTTGCACAGCCAACCAACCCAACCCAACACAAGGCTAGACGTGAATCGACTCTGGTAGTCTATTCCATCTCGGCCTTTTTATAACGACGACTCACTTCCCGCCATTGACACGATTATTTTAAACCATTACGCCTTCATTCTGCTGCATATAATCTAATTCTTAGTATAACCTGGTCAATCTCTCTCAACATGTCTGCTGTTCAGCTCAAGTTCTCACTGCGCACCTCCTCCAATGTCAAGACCGTCCATCTGGTCGGCTCCTGGGACAACTACTCCCGTCAGATCCCTCTTTCCCGGGATGATGTCAAGCCAGGCGCATGGACTGGAAAGTTCCGCTTCCAGACCTCCATGCTGAAGCTGGGTGGCCGCTACTGGTACTACGTATGTGACTCGCCCGCTGACTCGAATGGCCCGCAAGCTAACCCTGCCGCAGTACATCATGGATGGTTACCATGTCTCTCATGATCCCGCTGTTGAGTACACGGTCGAGCCCACCACCGGCCGCAAGTTGAACATCCTCGATGTTCCCGGTGGCAAGAAGTCTTCCCAGCCCGCCCCCAAGCACCACCGGGGCTCCACAGACTTCGTCAAGGGTCGTGCTCCTTCTCCGTCCAAGATCCACCACCCCAAGCCGTCCAAGCCCTATGCTTCCCGTCAAATCCGGGAGACGGACTTTGCTCCCACCATGGAAGACCTCACCATGCGGTTTGCCGACTCCCGTCTGTCGGACGAGTACTCGCTCTCCAACAGCCCGCCCAGCTCGGTTGGTTCATCCCTGTCGTCTCGCTCATCTGGCAGCACTTCCCCGTCGTCCCTGTCGTCCATGAGTGACCCACCCACCCCGATCTGCCACTGCGAGCGCTACGGAATTACTCGCAAGGGCGACCGGGTCAAGCTCGACTGTGGCGGCAGCCGATGCGGCTATGTTACCGAGTCGTCTGAGGCTAGCTGCTCCGAGTCCGACAGTGATGAGGAGTACCGCCGTGCCCGCAGCGGTGTCCGTCGTCAAGGCATTGTGGTGCGCAGGTAAATCATAACAACTTGTTGGTGCTTTTACCTTGCTTTGATCAATTTTGAACACCCCTCATGGGAGTCGCTTCCCGCGTCGAAAGACCGAACACGCCGTGCATTGGATGTCCCTCCTCTTTGCATCAGAGAGGATAGTCACTCCTTTGGCAGTAACCTGCCGCGCCAATTGAAGTCGCTTAAGCATAAATGCTACGAAAGCAGTTAGAAAAAAAAGAAAACCAATTAAAAAAAAGGAACCGGCCATCTGGATCATGGCAATCTGCCATGAAGGAGCCAGATGCGCTACGCGGAGGAGATGGGATAGTTGAAGATATGGGAAGGAATATGGAAAAAAAGACAAAGACCACTCTATACAAGGCACTGATGGTATAGCCAGGTGGATGAAGGATGAAATGAAATGAGCGACGTCGAGATCATGTTAGCTACGTTGTTCACATAGGAAACGAATGATGAGTGATGACTTGCCTATCCCTAGCCAGTAGCCGACACAAAACCACTATATTGCTTCCTAATAGCTATCCACTAGTAGTATGTAGTTAAAGTGAGATGCTCGGCAGCAATAGCCGGTAGAGAAATCCACCTCGTGGATGAAATCCGTCGGAAAGTCCAAGCTTTCCCCCGCAATCGGATATCCCGAGCACCGAGACCTACTTTAAAATCTGGGGCAGTCCTCCAGCTACATCTCTCCTCTGATACATCAATCTGAAATACCCCAATCTATATTTACGAACAATAAAGACCGCCACTATGCCACCACCCCCGCTCACCGTGCAGTACAAAGAAGCCAACGGCAGTAAAATCACCACCGACATCTACCTCCCACCGGCACCAACCACAACTACTACTGAAAATGATACGCCGAAGAAATATCCCGTTTGTACGTCTAATCCCTCCACTACACTATATATCACGTTACTAAAGAATTTCACAGTAATCAACATCCACGGCGGCGTCTTCATGCTCGGCCACTCGCGCATGGTCTCCATGCCCCAAGTCGACGACTGCCTCACCCGGAACTGGATCGTCGTGGTACCCAACCATCGCCTCTGTCCACAGGTGAACATGCTCGAGGGGCCCATCACTGATATCCGGGACCTGTTGGCGTGGATCTACGATGGGCAGTTAGATGCGTTCCTTGCCGGCGCAGGTGCAGATGCAGCGCTGTATCGGATCGATATGGATCGGGTTATGGCGTTTGGGACGTCATCGGGAGGTACATTAGCATTGTCATTGGTAAGTTCCCTCCTTCCCTTCTCCTACTATACGCACATCCAGAAATGCTAATAACCTATATCAGGGCTACTCCGTCCCCCGCCCCGTCGCCGCAATCCTCGACTTCTACGGCGCCGTGCACTTCACCCATCCCTTCTGGACCCAACCTCTCCCCGACGTCCAACGCACCCTGCCCCCACTCGACCCTGCATTCTTGCAGAAGATCTATGATGAATATCCCGTCCCTACGGATAGTTCTATCTCGTTGGAGGGCCAGACTGAGCTTGCTGGCGGTAGCAAGGCCAAGGGCCCGGATTTCTCTCGCCCGCGGGATGCCTTCGCTCTGACGCAGGTGGCTAATGGGACCGTTTTGCAGGCTTGTTATCCTGATCGGGATGTGAGGGAGATCGATCCGGTGGTGCATGTGGGCAAGGGGTTTCCGCCGACGTTTATTGTGCATGGGGATTGTGATACGAAGGTTAGTATTGAGGTCAGTCGGGAGCTGTGGAGGGTGTTGAGGGAGAATGGGGTCGAGTGTGGGATGGTGGAGGTGCCCGGGGAGGATCATACGTTTGCGATGGGAATGCAGGTTGGGGGGAGGACGTGGGAGTTGCAGAGGGAGGGGTTTGAGTTTTTGGAGAGGGTTATTTCACGATAGTTGATGGTTGGTGTTGATGGGTTTGTTGTAATTATTTATAGGGGTTTATATAGATTTTCGATAAGAGTAAGAATCGAGACCTGTTCTGTTTCAATTAAGCCTTTTAGCCGATTTGATATTTGTACAATTTCGGGGATTGTCCGAGTTTGTTGCAGAGTTTTGATAGTAGTTGGATTTCTACCAATGCACAGTACTTTCTTCATCAGCTAGGCTGCAACGTATGCATTATGTGATGACCGGTGTCCGCGGGATCCAGACACTCTAGGCTGATGCCAATCTTAGGCAAGCATTTTAAATCCTCTCGCTACTCGCTAGTATGGTTCTTCAGCTGGTTTCAGGATATAGATAGCAGTAAGAGCAGTCTAGTCATATTTTAGTCTAAGTCTAATTCTATACACGTGGTCGTCGGCCTCGAGTAAATTGATGTGGATAGTCATATCAAGTCCTAAGGAGCTTACAGTAAAAGCTTGATTGTAGACGGGGATAAATTCATCACTCCATTTGTCATGGCCTTATAACAGCTGCCTTTTCATTGGGAGTATTCCGAAATTTCCGACATTCCGAACATGACAAATCTTGGAATCATTGAAGAAGAAGTTTGATCACTTTCTTGACTGGGAAAGTCGAAGGGGGAATTGACTGGATGGTTGCCTGACGCGTCTGACTCAGGCCTCCACCAGAGGTGGATCTTTTGGTTAAGCCCTATTTTCCTAATCTGGTCAAGTCACGGGGATTACTATTTTGGGGCAACAAAGTCAACCAGTCAACCATCGCAACTGTGCTCGGGCCCCAAGCAACGAACAAGATGCCCACTTTTCCCCCCTCCATCGTCCGCGGTTGACTCGCTTCTCCTCCGTCCGGGCGTCTGTCCAGCTCATCCCAGTTTCAGCCCTACGGTGCCAGGGGCCAGTCCATCCTGGCTTTGAGTGGTTCATCCAAACCGGCCACTCCGTCCCCCGTTGCTTCTCAGCCTCAGCCTTCCTCCAATCCCCTCTTCCATCTCGGACAACTAACCACCTTCATCCACGCTATGCTGGGCTAATTTCCTGGCTAAGGAATTTCCCTCAAATCACCGGCCGGGTCCCGCTGCAGCCTTACGGCTCCCAAGGTCCTCCCCGGAGAACCGCACCGACACTGAACTCGCTCCAGCGGCCCACGGCACGGAGAAGCAATTTCCAATAGCAAATCCTCTATAGCGGACCCCCAGCTGGATTTGCTTCCCCTCCTCCCCTTCTCTGCTACAGCCTCTACACGAGGTCCAGCTCACCAATAATGTTCACCTGACTGCTCTTCTGCAGTCTGCATCCTCTGACTCCCATGCCTTTCAGGGGTCCCGGGGAGCCTTTAACGGCGCCCTTCTAGTGGGTAAACGGTGCCCGGCAACCCCTCAGAAAAGCAGGGAAAGCGTCGGAATCAGCTGTCATGGATGGGCGTGGCCTAGTTCTGCACTACTCGGCCTTCAGCCCGACAAGCGTCCCCCACTGATCGACTCCGGTTTGCCCTACGAGTATTGCGAAATCCGAAATAGACCAATCTGCTATGGGTTGACGTTTGCCCGGCAGGATGGGTCCTCCTCATTTCCCTCTTTTTTCCTATTCCCTCTTTTCTTTTTCCCCTCCATTCTCTCCTCTTCCTTGATTGTCTACATTTTTGCTTTCTCGGTGGCCCTTTTCCGTCTCGCTCTCGCTTTCTCTCTCTTCCTTTCTTTCCCCCCTTTCTCCTTTCTCCCTCTTTACTCTTCCCTTGTCGCTAGTCCTGTTCGTGATGGACCGAGTTCTTCCAGATTGTTCCCGAGCATAGAATTAAGGGTTCCTTTGGGTTTCTTTTATGGATGCCTTGCATCGACCGTCTGCAGTCGCATTCAGCATCAAGGCGCCTTAGAATGACAAGCTCGCCAGTTCTAGATCCTTGGTATTGTCGTCACTTGGAACTTGGTTTCTATCATGGTCCTGGGTCGCCTGAATGGTCGGTGTTTTTATAATTGATTCCATCCGCGATCCACTCCCCACCTCCATCGCACTCACCACATTACGCCTCGACCCTTCAGTCATTCCTTGACCACCACCCTCAGACCTGTCTCATTACCACGCGGGACGTTTGATCTTTTCAATTTGTGTCTTTTTTCTTTCTTTTTATCTACCACCAAGTCCAATCTCATCGGTCGATTACTACTACCATCACCACCTCATCATGTGTTATCTACTGGTGGAGCGATTTTCGGTGTGCAGATGTCTTTACTTTCAGCACGCGGTAGACCCGTGTGAAGCATACGGCCAGCGTGGCCATGTGGTGCAGGAAAAAATCGTCCTGGTCGGCTACACCTGTTCCCGACACTCATTGAGATGCAACGGAAACAACGCTCGAGACCCAACCCTGCCGGATTCAGGATACTCCAGCATCAAGGGTTAAACCCATCCACTCTGGGATAGCAAGAGGCAGCAGTCGCGGGACGTCTGCCTCAACCGTCGTTCGATTTTCATTCCTGTTTGATGCATGCTCAGTTCGATTCGATTTTGGCCTGGCCGGTTCGCCAAAACTCTTGCTAGATATATGCTTTTGTTATTGTCAACGCTGTGGGGCTGCGCTCTCGTCACCGTTTTCTTTATAATGCTGTGTGTGTGCGCGTGTTCAGTCAGCCTATTCTGCATAGCGTTGCGTTGTGTTGCGTCGCAGAATCCCCAGTCACGATGAGACGAGAAACGTGCGACGATCGACTGGGTGGAGAGTTTTATCTTGTTAAACTATGGTAATAGAGGAGGATTTGATTGAGAAAAATGGGGGCCGTATCCGGGATACGCCAGTTGGGGGATACCAACATCTATCTATGCATTATCTAGCTGGCCTACCTACATTCGTTATCATTAATCATCTACTTTTTACAGTCATATGGCTATGTACTTGTGCATGAAATATGATCTACCAATAGGAAGATTCTCCCGTTAGACGAGGGTTAAAGTTAAGCCATGCTGAATGACTTGTCCATTCGCACTGCAGATCCTAAGAAGAATCAAAATTGCGGTGACCAAGCGGATAGCTTAATTTTCACGTAGCCTACAAACTCTCCACAGTCTATTTATTCAAAGGCCCATAAACAACACGTAAATAGGAGGCTCAATAGTCCCTACAGGTACCTACCTACTACGACTCATCACCTGTATCCACAGCGGTAAACAACCAACAAAACACTTTCCAAAAACAGCATGATTGCCAAAACCATATTAGATCTCGCCTACCAGCATTCAAACGCCCTCACCTAGGCCCTAATTTAATTGATAATGATCGTGCATGAATATGCTTGAAGACATGAATGCAATTTAAGTCGAGTAGTAACTGAACACCAGGGATCTTTCATCTTTTCTATAGAAATACTACGTAGGTACTGAGTTAAGCAATGACCTCTCTACTTACGAATCAGAATAATCTATATGTAGTTTTAGTTTCTCTATAAGCATAGATTGGAATTGAAAAGTATGCAATAGATGCATGCATGCATGCATGTGTGTTATCGATGCAAGCAAGTGGTAAGTAAGTAATGAAGTGGATGTGTTTGCATTATAGGTGTGCGATGCATGCATTTATTGCACCGTCGGTGAGGAATAGAAGAAAGAATGTATAACTTTTAGTAGGATAATCATGGATGGCTTCGTATGCTGATTTATGGGTTGTATCTATTGCTTTTACTTTTCTTGGTAATCATTAGTATTAGCTGTTGTGCAGGATGCTTTTCTCTCCTACTGCTTTGTTGTGTGTACAGTGTAGCTAGCTGTGTTATACTATTGTACTACTACTTTGAACTAAATCGAGATCGGACGAGGAAGGCAAGGGAGAGAAATCTCAAGCTCTAATTGGTCATGGACAGAGCAACCAAACAACCACTGGAATGAGAAAAAGGGTTAAAGGGTTACACACTCATGCATGCTGCAAGCAAAAGGAACATAGTAGTATAGAATACAATAATACAGCACAACTACTCCGTTCCACTCCGCTCCACTCCACTCCACACAACTACATCCGATGTATTAAAATTTGACTTTTGCTTCTTGGCTTAATTCCTCTTCTTCATCATCATCAACAAAAGAAAATCTAAATCGTTCCAAGAGCCCCATGGCTCAATCCCTTCGCTAGACCAACACGGAGAATACGGAGGATATCCTCGCCCGTTGCGTCCTCTGGTAGACCGGCACGCCAGTCCCAGCCGCGTTCGGTGGAGGTAGTGGGGGAGTCAGCGTCTGCGCGAGGGACGAGAACGCCGGAGCTGCCGACGGAACCGGAGCCGGAGCGAGTACGGGCGGATTCGATGATGTCGTTGCCGATGAGGGAGAAGGTGCTTGATGCTGTGAGGGATGAGACGGACTTCTTGAGCATGGCGCGAGGGGAGGGAGGGAGGACAGAGGAGTCGGAGGTGTGGGCGCGCTTGCTGGAGTGGTATTGGATGAGCGTGGAGCGGAAGCATTCCTCGCATTGGGCGTAGACGCGCGGAGTCACGGTCTGGAGGTCCTCGATGGCGGAGAGGATGGTGAATTGTTGGGAGACGGAGAGAAGGGGAGTGGATTCTGCCGAGTGGATGGTTAGGATAGTATTCTTAGGAAGGGTACTAAGATAGGGATCTTACGGCCAATAAAGGGCAGGGCTTCGCCAAGCAATGTCAACAGTCCATCGACTTGGACGACAGCATCACGATCGGGATCGTACAGACCACCGTAGATGCTGTCCGCCGCACTGCCAATGACCGCCACCAAAGCCTGGGCCGCTGCTCGCCGTCTGGCTAGAGGCTTGAACCGAGGTCGCTGTCCTTCCTTAAGATTGATCGCCTCGTCGCGAATCTCGTAGAAGCGACGCAGAGTCGCATATCCACTGAAATAATACTGGAGAATAGTTGCAGCCTCTTCATCCGTGTGCGCAATCGCCCCCAAGCCAAACTTGGGGTTCTTGATCAAAGCTTCAAGCTGCTCGTCCAGGTCGGCGGATTCGGGGAAGGCGCGGGACTGAACAAGACTGTATGAGATGAGCAGGTCAACGATGGACTTGACCTTGCGTCGGTCATGTGCGCGAGCATAGCACAGAAGGGCAAGCCCATATTCCTGAGAGTTTGCGACGATATTATCACCATAGCGCTGAGCAGGTTAGCTGACGTTCATATAGTACTAGTAGATGACGACCTACCTCAGCGACCTTCCTTCCGTGTTGATCCAAATCCATTTCGCAGCACAGCTGCACCACTCTATCCACCTGGTCAACGCTAGTCAGTGGTATCTTTTCGAGCAGGTCGGCAACGCTCGTCTCCAGTTTCTCGCGGTCATCCAAGCGACTGAGGATCTCGATGGCCATCTCCCATCCTTGTCGCACGCCCGTTTCGCACTCCAAGGTGGTCCTCTCAGACAAGCTAGACGCATACTCGCTAATCACATCGTTCTTGTGAACACGTCGCGTAGGTGCATCGCCAGCCTGTCCATAGGAAAGAACCATCAGGTCATTTTTGCTAAGGCCTGGCATAGATTTAGGACCAGCCCCAGCCTCTAGCCAGCCGCCGATAGACGCGAATTCAACCACGGCAGCCGCTACGCACAGCGACCAAGTCTGAAGCAATTCTAGGACACCATCCACGTTGCCTTCAAATACGGAAGCAAGTCCGACTTCAAGACTGCTCATCGAGTTGACGCGGAAACCAGCGTCAGCGGGCTCGGCGCTGGTTGCATGACCGAAGGCCAGGTCAAGCCGGCGAAGGTAGGCGTTCCGTATACTGCTGGGGGAGGTGTTGGGTCTGGACAATCTCGAAAACAAGTCGGCGCTGGAACCCTCCTCATCATCCTCTCCATCCCACCACACGGTCATCGCAATCGTGGCCTCAATCCAGTCCTCTGCGTGGTCCATGACTACGCTCGTATCGCCGAGGATAATGCGGTACATGGACCGAAGGTTCTGGTAGATGGCCCACGGGACTTTGCTCTCGGCCATGCGTGCGTTCTGAGCGAAAGAGAACATCGGGGCAGCAGCCGTGGGCTTCAATCCAAAGTTGACTGCCTGGAAGCGGTTCTCCGCGGCTGGAGGCTCGGGAGACGCCTGTTCACTGCCTTCGGCGAACTCCTCCAAATCTGTCACGGCGGCAATAACACGTTTTCTATACGTAGCCCACTCGGGGCCTCTAATGTCCCAATCCCCGTGCTGCACGCTGGGACATGAGTCAAGGACCTGGAGGGCCCTATTAACGCACCTCTGAATGTTCTGCAGCTGTGCGCCACGATAGCCTGACTGCGGCAATCCATCCTCCAAGGCGGACCGTGCATAGTTAAAATCAGCCGACCGCAAAAGGTCCGCAGCCTCAGAGAGATGGCCACGCAAAACAGCAGCATTGATCAGTTCCCAAAAGTTTGGAGAAGCCGTAGGATTGGGATCAATCTCTTTCAATGCTTGCAGCTCATCGGTAAGAGGCATATGGTTCTCATCAAGCCAGTCAAGAAGGAGCTTGGGTATGGGCGTAGGGGTATTCGTCCGAGCGGGGGCCAGTAATAAATTGCGCGCTGGAAATCCCAGGGGGCTTAGAAGGCTGGGCTTGGGTGCCAACTGAGGAGGGTGGTGGAGCCGCAGCAGCAGGGATGCCAGGAAGCTTGCTTTCGCAATGTTCGAAGCATTGTCGCCAGGACCGATGCCGGTACCCGGATTCTGTCCAGCGCTATCCTGATTTGCGATTGCCTGCCACGTGTCCACGAGTCTGTCGCAGGAGTCCGACAGAGCAACCTCAAAATCAGTGTTGTTGTAGTCAGACTTCTTCACTTCATCGTGCATGCGGCAAACTTCATCCTCAGTATGCATGATAAACTCGCTTGGCTCTTCCACGGCAGCCACGCGCGAGCGCGAAGCGAAGTTGCGCACAATCGACGGCATCGCTGAGTCCTTCTTAGGCGACAGCTTGCCTTTCCGTATAGGTGACTGGTTTGCCCACTTTTCGTCGAGCTTTGGGCGTTTTGCTTGCGTGGTGGAATTTGAGTAGATCGACTTTCGTTGGCCGAGCGCGGCGGACGGCGCAGAGATAGAATCGCCAAGCTGGGAGTCCAGGAAGCTGAAACGAGACCCTGTGGCCTTTTCTGTAGTTCCCAAGTCCATAGCGTTGTCGGTCTGTTCAGCTTGCTCCTCCGGCAGGTCTTCCTCTTCACCCTCCGCATCTTGGTCGGTGGCATCATCGTCCATCCGTGAATCCGCGAAGCCGTTGGAATTTCCAAAGCTAGTCGACTCGGCAAACCGGCTGCCGTTTGTAATACTGAACAGCGATTGCGATTTCGCAAAGGACTTGGTTTGAGTGGTCTTCTTGCCTCGGGGGAGGGCAAAGTCGGTGGAAGCGATGGAGGAGCCGAAGATACTATCGTTGGGATTGATGTTCCCGGATTTGGTGAAGAGAGAGCCAGAGCTCATTTGGGAGCTGCCGAACATGCTGCTGGAGTGAGGATGGCCTTGCGGAGTGAAGGAATTGGATGCGGAGGGCGGAGCGCCTGCCGGCGTTTCTGACAGATTACTGAATACACTGCGGGAATGGCCGGGGGTTGACGGCGGACTTGACTCAAACGAGGTTTTGAAAGACATGCTGCGACAAGCTATATCAATTGGTAAGAAGCTCGGAGGTGAAAGAGGGAAGATGAACGCGAAGAGCGAGGAAGCATAGAGCTGCACCTCAATTCGGGGCGGATAGACAGCGTAAGAGGAAGGGAATAAAGATGCGCAATCAATTTAGTGAGGTCGGGTCATCGAACAAGAGCTGAGGAATCGCCAGGCAGCCGGGCAGAGCGAGAAAGAAGCAACACGCCCGTCCGAAGCTGCTGTATTTCTGGAATCTGGGATTCTACTCTTTCGCCGGCCAACAATTAATTCTCCCGAAGTTCGAGACGCGCGCCGGGCGGTGAGAAACCAAGTCAGGTGATAACACATATACTCACGTGATTAGCATAAGTCAGATGATGTCACATGAGATCGAAGCCTGAGTCATCAACGCTACGCCCGATCGGGCCCGTCGTATCCGCTAAGTCATAAACAGTGATGATTGGCTGAGGTTATCCATGGATCAAGTGCCCGAAGGGATCAGAAAAGGAGAAAGCAGAATGGCTGTGATGCACAGCCTGATGATCGTCAAAGGGTCTCGTATCGGCATGAGCCGCAGCAGAGCGCCTTGTCCGACACAAGGCTCGGATGCAAGATATAAGAACCATGGAATGGCGTCGTTTCCATAAATCTGGGATTCAGTTCTCAGAGCCACCGTCTAACAGATTACTACTCTCCTGCTACACAAATGGCTACTTACGAACCTTCTCTGGTCCCCAATGACCCAACCTTGGTCGGTTCTCAGCTCTCCGACTATGAGGGATCTGTGGACGAGAAGCTTCCAAGCGAGCAAAGCGCTTCGCACGTCTATCAGATCCATAACACGCTGTTCCGAAACCATTACAATGTGTCTACCGCCCAAGGGAAGCAGCTCTACCGGGTGGAGAACTCCTCCTGCAGGCCCAAGAAGCCAGACCTTACCTTCCATGCAGGGTCCGACGAGAACGGCCCGACCGTGGCAGTCTGCAAATTCCTACATTTTTCAAGACATCTCAAGGTCGGTCTGGGCGATCCCAACGATATCAATGGTATTACATACGAGGATCTGCTGGCGCAAGACCACCGACACGCCAAGTATCGTTGGCAGATGACGATGCAAACTGCCCGGGGCCCCGAACGGCACTCATTCCTCTGCACCCGGACACACTCGGTTGGGGTCAAAGAGGACCGCAAGACGAACAGCTTGAGCAATCGCAACTTCAAACTCGTTGATGAGCAGACCGGCAAAGTTGTGGGTGTATTTACCAATGCTGTCTGGAAGAACAGGGAGACAGGCAGGCTTCTGATGTTTGTGGATTATGGGCAGGAATTCGACCTTATGGCACTAGTCACAGTGCTAGCCTTGTACGAGAAAGCCCGGCGACGCAGGGACTCTGCTGCTGCCAGTGGTAGTTAAGAGGAGAAAAGATTCTTTGACATGGTTGTTTTGCGGTTCCTTTATGCGATACGAGATACCAAATTGACTTTTCTGAATTTTGGTTTATATTCTCTCATAATATCAATAAGCACAAAGTTTTGGTGCTGAGGACCCTGTTGATGACGTAAGACGAGCTTGGCTCCAAAGAACGATTGAAATACTTCAGCCTTGACATTTCTGTCTTCTCCCCGCCATAAACTTCAAGATAGCGGGTCTAAGCGACGGCTTCATGCGAAAGTATTAACCGTGGGTCCCAACTCCCCCGACTCTAGAATGGCCAGCAGTAGCTCCTGCACCACGTTCAATGGCACTTAGAAGACCCCATCGCAAATCGCGCCACGGCTGCTTGCAATGCAAGCGAAGGCGGGTGAAGGTACTCTCTTATTTCCGCAATCTTGTGGAATGCTCCCTTTGTCTCGTCTTCCTTACTGACGATCCCAGTGTGATGAATTACGACCCTCTTGTTCAAATTGCTCAAAACGTCTGGCAACCTGCGAGTATGACTCTAGCGCATCACTGCTATGGACAAATGAAGAACCCCCTTCTCGCATACGGCCCAAGAAGTCCAGCCCAGCAGGGGTTTCCCAGTCTGACTCTCCTGGGACTACGACTGCCAACTCCCTTAGCATCCTGGGAAGATGGGGTGATGCATTTGCCGCCTCGCAAGCAGTCCCCAGCTTGAACATCACAGATCTGGAGCTGATGATGCAATGGTGCAACTCAACGCACAAAAGCCTGTCTCGGGGCGAACACACGGACCACATCTGGCGCTTTCGCGCTTCAGAGGAAGCAATTACGCATCCTTTCCTAATGCACGGGCTACTCGCGCTATCCTCCCTGCATATTGCACGAACAAAGCATGATACCCAGCAGCGTCCGATTTATCTCAGCACTGCCGTTGCACATCAGGCTCAAGCACTGGCCCTATTCCGCGAGAGGCTAAGCGATATCAACTCGTCTAATGCAAGGGCTATGTTTGCATTTGCCGGTATTGTGGTCTGTTATACCTTTGGCTTACCTCACGCACCCGAGTCTAGTGATCCATGGGCAAACGTGGATGACCTACTTCAGATATTCACGCTCGCGCGCGGGGTTCAACAGATCCTGAAGCAAGCTACTTCGATCATAAAGAACGATGAATGGAGCATAATTTTCAAGGTGGAAGACTTAAATGAGGACTACTTGAGAGACGCACAGTCAAGCTTGGAGCGGTTGTATGAGGTGAACCACGCTTGCGGGGCTCAAGATGACACCCATGACACAGCTGCTTACGAAAATGCACTTGACCGTCTGGCAGAAATGCTGGCTGAGACGCGCACTGGTATTTCCTCTGTGTCGACTTCCAGCCGATGGGCAATCAGACAATTTCCTGAATTCATGGAACTCTTGCGGGAGCGCAAACCGCTAGCTTTGGTTATTCTAGCATACCACTGCGTTGTATTCCATCATCTGAGGGATGCATGGTACATGGGCGATCGAGGAAGCAGAGTGGCCCGAGCATTATGGGACATTTTGGACGATGAATGGAGGCCGCTGATTGAGAGTCATATGCTGGAAATATTCGGGGAGACACACCCGACTAATACGCCTGATACAACTGGAATAGGACAGCAGGAGATTGATCGATGATCATTGCATTCAATAGCTGGACATTTACAGGCCACGACATCTCCACCTATAAAGAGACATACTCCTCTGCTTTCCGCCCCCCCTTTTCAGTCTTGATGCTCCGCTCCCCCGCCCGAGGAGCCATTCTACTTTGCTTGGAAGGATGGCTGCGAAAACGATTAATACGGACAACGTCAGCAGTCCGTCTAGCACATCACAAAACACCATCCAAGCGCAGAACGCACTCACCTGACGCTTGCATCGAGGAGCCGAGCACATCTCCTGCAACGAATATCTTGATCATCCAGCCAACCCGGATGATTGTCACCCATCCCCCTCCTTAACGAGGCTATAATCCGACCCAGCTCTTTGTATATGCTTGCAGCGAAGAGAGCCGGCACGGCCAGCAGCAGGGGTGCTCTTCACGATGTACGGACCGATAGTCCAAAGGGGGGTCTGAGATGCCGACATCGCGCGGCCAATGTATCCTATTGCCTCGACTGATTGGTCAGCTAGTGCAAGTCCAACGTTGAAGGATTGACATACAGTATCCTTCGATAACGAAAGGGACAGGGAATCACGTCCGTGTTCGGAGCAGACGATAAGTATGAATGAGGGTGCCCAGCATAAAGAGAGCCGCGAATACAATCGCTGCAGGCTTTGATGGGTTGTACTGATAAGCCACCCAGCCGCTATGCAAGTCGGAAGACATCTTGTTGGATGGTAGGGGTAAGACTATCGCAGAGTAATCTGACTGAGAAGCATATGCTCAACGGACATAATGAATCATTATCTGAAAATAAGCCTCCAATTTATATAAAGCGACTCGCGTTTCATCGCCACTTGTATAGAAATTTTCTATCTGAAGCTTCACGATCTGCAGCCTCGTATATCTCGTACCTATTTCCCGATTGGGGAGATGCCCTCATCCTACGGCGGAATCAGACCGAGCATGTCAGAAGTAAAGACTAAGTAAGTACATTTTTGAATCCATTGATAAGGACTGGCCGATAAAAACTTCTCCCTTGAACAAGACTTTCATCCATAAGCACTACAGTAGTCTACATAAAAATCCACTCCTCTACAACCCCATCACCACACCCACCCTATACAAACTCCCCAAATCTATACTCATAGTAAACTACAACCGACTCCCCCTCTCCTCCCCATTAACCAACACATACCTAAACCTCGCCCTCCCTGCCTCCATATCCCTCAACGCCTCATTAACCTCTTCCATCCTCCTCGTCTCCACCCACGGCCTAACCCCCTTCTCCGCCGCAACCTCCAACATACACCTAATATCCTCACGACTCCCAATATTCGACCCCGTCACATTAACCCCCTTCCCAATCAACTCAAACGCCCTCATCCTGGGCAACGGCTTCTCCGGCGCACCCACCAACACGAAAGTCCCGCCCGCCTTCAACAACCTCAAATACTTCCCAAGGGGCATATCATCCCCATCCACCGTACAAAGAATCAAATCCACCGATCGACTCCACTTCTTCTCCCATCCCTTTTCCTCCCCCGTCGCAATAAACTCATCAGCCCCTAACCCCTTCACCGCATCCTCTCGCTTCCCATTACTCCTGGATATCCCAATAACCCGCTCACACCCCAACGCCTTCGCAAACATAATCCCCAAATGCCCCAGTCCGCCGATCCCCACCACCGCTACCGTCTTCCCCTTCCCACTATCCGCCCCATCACCAAGATACTTCCTCAACGGCGCAAACACCGTCGTCCCCGCACACAGCAACGGCGCCGCAACCTCACTCTCTAATCTCTCCGGAATCCGGAACGCGAATGCCGCGGGCCCGCGCCATTTCCGCGCGAAGCCCCCGTACGCTATCACGTCGCTTCGCTTTCCGGTCTCGTTGTCCCAGTATCGGCTGTTATATGTGCCCGTGATGCGTGGACAGTAGTTCTCCTTCCCCGCGACGCATTCCTCGCATGAGGGCTGTAGGCACGAGTGGGTTTGGGCACCGATGCCGACTCGGTCGCCGATGCGTAGTGGTGTCGTGTTGGGGTAGGTGGGGATGGATGAGCCGATGCGTGTCACGATGCCGATGATCTCGTGGCCCACGATGCAGGGGTAGGTCGTTGTGTTGGGACCCCAGCCTGAGCGGAGTGTGTGGAGGTCGGTGCCGCAGATGCCGCAGTGGGTTATGTTGATTTCGATGTCTGTGGGAGTGAAGGGTTTCGGGGTGTAGGGGGCGTAGGTTAGAGGTGTGGTGGGGGAATTGGAGAGGTAGCCGTGGAAGTGCTCCGGGGGTGAGGGTGGTGACATTGTGGTGTGTGGGTTGGGTTGGACTGTGTGGTGGTTGTGGTTGTAGGTGTGAAGGTGGTGGTGAGTGCGGAGAAGAAGTTGATATAAAGGAGAGAATGCGGAGAAGTGCCGAGGTCCGTTGATTAAGTTGGGTTGGGTTGATTGGAACAGCCGAATGTGGAATGTCCGAGTTGTGGGGATCTACAACACGTGGTTGGTGGCTACTTTAGTTAGTACCTCGGATTATTCTACTCATTATGTAGATTATGTAGACGATGTATGTTCAAGATAATTTGTATTGTGTAAAAATGTAGTAAACTATAAATGTTGCTCACATATGTGGCAGGTATCATAAACTCCCCAGAGGCATCTATCTATACACCCCTCTCCTGACACCACTTCTCTACCTCCTTCGCCAACTTCTCCCGCTGATCCCGCACCATCTCCATCATCGGCTCAACCTGCTTCGCATACGCATCGTAGCCCTTCTGTCCGTCCGGTCCAAGGCCATCCCCCTTCTGAGGCGCCAGATACGTGTCGTAGACCGAAATCATCAAGTCCATCACAGCAGACAGCTGGTTGGGGAGCCACTGCAATTTGTTAGTCATTCTGCTACTGCATTTACCACCAAAGGGCTCGCATAGACATACCGTAACAATAGGGCTTCCGCCAGTAGCAGTAGGGTGTGGCGTGCGGCGAATGATGTACTCGCGGGCAAACAGCCAGTGTCGCCAGCGGAAGCTGCGCACGTGGTTGAGAGTCTTCAGGAGAAGAATTGCCGTCTCGGTATCTGCCAGCGCAAAGTTGCGCACCCCGACCTCTTCCGACTTGGAGTTGATGTGCGCGAGGAACTCGCGGTGGGGAAGCGGACGGTAGGCGCGGAATTCATGCAGTACCTTGGTGAGCGGGTTGGAGGGCATGGGGATCTGGCAAAGGTGGTCGAGCAGTGGGATCTGTGTAGAGCTTTAGCTTGAGGCGTTTGTCTTATGGCATGGGAATGGATACATACCATGCTGTCGTTTGCACCACTCTCTCCGCGGAAGAAAAGAGGCTTGTTGTCGAGTACCCCGTCGTAGACGACTCCGTTCGGGAACATGGACTGAGAAGTGATTCCGAAGATGAAGACGCGGAAGGAAAGGTAGTCCTGGGGCTTGGAGTTGGCCCACATGTCTGTAATTGTTAGCTGGAGTGTACTGATACAAGTAGGAAGCACATGCATACCCTCCATGGCTGCTTCGATCTTTTCCATCGACTCCAGGATCTCTCGGAACCCGTCGTTGACTACCGAGCGGGGCCCGCCCTGCTCAACGGTGTCGACAACTTTGACAGCTCCGCTGATCAGGCCGCTCGAGTACTTGACCATGTCCACATGGGTCAGGATGAATCCTGCCTCTGAGCTCTTGGGGTCGAGGCCATTCTCAAAGGCGCGGACCAATCTGAGGTTAGGGTAGACCAGGCCCTTGGATGGTTCGGCCAAGGTGTAGTTAAAGAGGGAGTATGCAGCTGCATAGGACAAGAAGGGAGGAATGTCCAAGCTGTATCACATTAGTATATTGTTCAAGCTACTATAAGTCATGTAGGGTAGACATACAGCTGAGCACAACGGTACATGGGACGAGCTACAGTCTTGGGCAGCAGGTCCCGCCCCAACCCATAGCCACTCTCAGGGTCCTTGCACCAGTTCTCCCAGCATGGCTCAAGGATATAAGCCGAAGCGAGGAACGAATAGTCCCGGAACAGAGCAGCAATCATGTACAGGTCCGGCAACCCCTCATCGGTGACCTGCTTGTCGATCTCATCCGTCAAGTCGGGCAGCTCAGCCAGGACGGCAGGGCCCAGCTCATACTTGGCAAGAAGACCTGGAGTACCATCCTCCTTGAGGACTGGCATCCGCTCAAGCAGGGACATCAGGGGTTGGAAGACATCGGGCAGCTTGGTAGGGGCAGTGAGGTAGGGCAGGAAGCCAGTGGAGGTGGTGATGGTGAAGGGGTCCACGGACCGGGGCACAGTGGAAGGGTCATCATGAATGTGAGGGAAGCGATCCACAGTGCTGTTGGGCAAGGGGACTCTAGAGGGAGACATGGTGTGGAGGTAATGTAGTATAGAAGTCTATCCGAGATGTAAGGCAAATGGATGATGACGTGATGACGATGAAAGAGTATAGGGTTGGTAGAGACCCAAAGTCAAAGTAAGAAGAAGATAAGAAAAACGGGAAATTTCCCACTGGGAATGTTTGCGAATACTGGAGGATCTGGGAAGGAGAGCTTGGGAGCCAGAATTGGGCGGGAAAGCAGGCGATTCTTATAATACTCAGAGGCCGGTATCAATTCCGGCCTCAAAGGCACCATTACGAAAGAGGCAGGAAAACTGCGTGGGGACCTCAGACTCGTTCGCGATAACGTAGCATCATAGATGGTGAACCATCCTACGTGATATATTGGGGTTCTGCGATGATTCTACGCAGAAACAACACCCCTTACAGGCATGTCTGGCCATCAGATGCACGTCCATCGACTCTATACAAACTCTTGGCAAATAAGGGCACGCCAGAATCACGGGGACGCGCTATTCCCGATTGAGCGGGGTATAGCAGCTGCACCCTGTGCTCGTTCCGAGGTCTAGCCGCCTGGTGGCAGCCATAAAGGTGCTGGTATATAATTATAGGCTCCTGATAATAGAATAGGCCTTTTACTACTCTCGAAAATACTTCTAACGCAGCCACAACTGCCCCAAAGCATCTCCATCTACATTATGGACTGCTTTATACTTCACCAAATGCCAAGGCTTTATGTCACATGGCCCCCAGCATGATTGGCCAACATCCTTGGATCGCGGCCGAATAGGCTTTCCTAGTTGCATGAGGCCGGAATTGGGCCGGCCTCCGATGATAGCCGGCCTTCTTTTATGTCGGTCAGCTATCGCTCCTATCTCGGAGTCCGCCGGCACGTGTCACCGTGCCATTCTTGGCTGATAAGGAGGTTGCAACAATTCTAAATATCAGCGTGTCTGAGACTGACTTATATTTCTACTAAAGCAATACGGAACGAAGATCCGTTCATGCATATCTGTGCTTTTTTTACCGCTGCCGTATATCCTTCGCATTGCCTTCTTTCAGCAGGTGTGGCGCTGAACAGCCAATCCCTTAGCAAAGCATGTGGTCTAGAGACAGACCGAATCACTAGTATACAGAGGTGGGTATGGATATTGATCTCTAATGTACATTTTGGGTATATTCTACAAGCATACAGCCATCACATGCCAAGTGGACATCTATACCTGCTCTCTCGTTAAGAAGGGTTCATCTCTAAACACCAAGGACATGAACATACCAGACAAAGTCTATGAATCGTAAAGAACCGCTCGGGCGTGAATCATGATGTTTGTCCTTGATTCGATTTCCCTCCGCTTGGCTCGTCAACACTGGGCGAGACCTTCTGTAGCTTCCGGTACTCTTCTTCCAACGCCCTTTGCATCTCGAACTCGGCCTGTCGTTCCCTGCGGATACGCTGTTTCTCCATGTCTAGCTCAACCGCCTTGTGCATGCCCTAGGTACGAAACAAGCATTAGTCACTGCAATTGTCCTGGCCGTAAAGCACTGGTGACATACAATTTTCTCTTGTTCTTGTGCCCAGTGCACAAAGTAGATGATCCCCGCCGTACCGAGACCAGTCGCAGCCAGTGTCAATTTGGAAGCACGAGACATCTTGTCTTTAATGCAATTTGTATATTGCGCGACAGTTAGTAAGAAGCAGTAAATGAATGAACGGTTGAATGCGCGAGTGGCATCATGTCCAAATCTGCATCGGATTATCGGTGATATCAGTGATGGCGGTGTCTGGTGGCAGAATCCCGACCGCCTAAGGGGTCATTCGTGGCGTCGGGGAGATCGAACGGCGCATCACAAGCTCACGACTCCACCTCTGTATACTCCTATATTCTCCGACTCTTTCGTTCTAATAAGCGCCTGTTTTGAGAGATAATATTGCAAAGATGGTGAGGAGAAATGTGTCGCTCTACTTGGGAAACTGCCATACTGACTCTTTCGGATAGTCCGCTCAGAACTCCGCAGGCATTCAGACCCTCCTCGATGTAGGTCGCATTTGATTGAACTGGGTGGGGTATAGTGGTTGACCATTTCTATTTCAGGCCGAGAGGGAGGCTCAGAAGATCGTCCAACATGGTTAGTTCACACTGTCTTTGAAAGAATACCGGACCATTAATCAGTGCTGACGTGTCGCATTATCCAGCCAGAGAATGTATGTCATCAGACACCCGATAGCCACAGCATCCCGATTAATGTTCTTTTAGACCGCACGAAGCGCATAAGGGAGGCAAAGTCCGAAGCACAGAAGGAGATTGAGGAGTACAGAAAGCAAAAGGAGGAGGAGTTCAAGAAGTTCGAGGCTGAGGTATGAATGACTATCTGTCCTGCGGGGTTGAAGTTGGGAGATGCGACATTTGGACGAACGTGAGGGTTGACATTACTGTTTCTAGCACTCGAGCGGATACAAGAAGGCCGAGGAGGATGCGAACAAGGAGGCTGAGGTGAAGCTCCAGGAAATCAAGGATGCTGGCAACGAGAGAGGTGGAAAGGTTATTGAGACTCTTATCCATGCGCTGGTCGATGTGAAGCCCGAGCCGTCCGAGAAGATCGTGATCAAGGCATAGAGAAATGATGCCGGTTGTCATTGCGGCAGCATGAGGGGTTCTTGTTTGTCATTTGCTTTCAGCCTGTGAATATAGTTCTGGCCCGCTGTTTGAGCATTACATAAATTATGTTGTATCCTGTCTGAAGCTGGCAAGAGTCAACTTGAAGTTGTCTTGATTTCTCGCTGCTGTTATAAGGTTGTTGCAAGTCAACCTATAAGGCCCTTGAAGCACAACCCAGCATACTAATGTAGCGATTATGTACACCAATAATAGTAAACTGAAAGAGAAGGGCTAGCTCGTTGATCGCATGCATGCCTTTATTGCCAGTTACAAGCTGTGGATACAGTAGACGTTGTCAGTGCCATGGTGTTGCGGCCTAAGGCATGAAGTGCCCAGTAACTGTTGCGTCATCAGGAACACCAAGCTGCCCCCAATGTATACATTACTCTCAAGCCTCTCTTCAGCATCACACAATTAGTGAGAGGAATCATAAGATGAGACATGCCGTTGCCGTGTCCAACGGCGTAAGAAGCATCAAATTTCATTCGCTCTCTGTCCGCTATCCAGCCCTGAGGTGTCTTTCTTCCTCTGCGCGTAGGCACAGCCCACAACATCCCAGCAGCCCCGACGCTCTCGATCCGCGCCTAGAAGACCTGGGGAACGTTATCAGAGATGAATATGCGATAATTAGGGAGAACTACAGTAAGCATGAGCCATGCAAAGACTTTATCATCGGTGTCGAGCTACTGATACTCCGTTAACAGATGCCCCAAAACATGCAGTTGTTCTTGCGCATGGCCTGCTTGGATTCGCCGAGCTACGTCTTGCTGGACGTTATCTTCCTGGAGTTCAATATTGGCGTGGTATAAAGGAAGCTTTATCGATGCAAGGGGTTCGGGTCATTACTGCCACAGTGCCTCCCTCCGCATCCATCGAAATGCGTGCTGAAGAATTAGCGAGAGATATCGCTGCCGGTGCACCCGGAGAACATGTAAATATAATTGCGTAAGTTTCTACCCCAGAAGATATGATGTCGTCTTGTCTGACCTGAAATAGTCATAGCATGGTAAGTGCAACATCTTCTTGCCATTACGGGAGCCGTTGTTGACACTTCCCTTAGGGGTAAGAGCCAGGAAATTCTACCCTTCAAAAGCGGTTATTAATCAGTGCTCAAGCGGGCTTGATTCTCGATATATGATCACTCATTTGAAGCCGACTGATTTCAAAGTAAAATCGTTGACCACGATTGCGACTCCCCATAGAGGTATGTGACGTCTCAAGATAGGCAGAACATGTACTCAACGTTTCTAGGCTCTGCTGTTGCAGACTTCGCCCTCAAGCAGATTGGCGGTTAGTATGCACGTCGGTTCTATAAATACTATCTAACATGGTCTTAGATGACCGCCTTGCCCAGCTGTACTATGCTCTAGACCGGCTAAAGGTAGAAACGGGCGCGTTCGCCCAACTAACTCGTGACTATATGACGAACACGTTCAACCCCGCAACGCCAGACATTGAAGACGTTCGGTAGGTCCCCACTGGCCGAAGATGGTACCGTCATCAGGATGGCTGAGCTATGCAGATACTTTTCGTACGGGGCGGCAATGCAGCCAAGTTTCTGGTCCGTCTTCCGTCTATCCCACCGTCTTCTGGAACAAATAGAAGGGTACAATGATGGACTTGTCAGCGTTGCCAGCAGCAAGTGGGGAGCATACAAGGGCACCCTGGAGGGCGTCAGCCACTTGGACTTGATCAACTGGAGCAATCGACTCAAGTGGCTGGCCGGAGAAATTACAGGCAACAGACAAAGGTTCGCCAATAGACTTCCAACTTAATTCATTGGACATGCGAGCGCCCCTGCTGACATTGGCTGTTTTGTGTATCGTATAGGTTCAACGCCATTGCATTCTACCTTGATATTGCAGGTAAGGCGCGAAATTGTCTCGGCAGCGCATCGGTTGATAACCATGGCTAATGAATCTAGACATGCTCGCTAAGGAAGGACTCTGACGACCCACCCCACTGCAGTCAAATTGGAAATCTTGGTGCCTAGAAGTGTACTTGTAATTCGAAGTATAGATCACTTGGCGATACCCAATTAATTCATACCATCAGTTCTTTGATATCCATTGCCATGGCTCTGCTAGCGTCCGTGACGTGGCGGTGCAACGGGAGGGGATACCCATAACACCATAGAGCTGTGTTCGGGGTGGCTGAGCAGAACCCCGGCTGTGACGCGAATCGGAGGCCAGCAAAAACCAGCCCTGCGAGAGGATCGCCATTCAGTCTGGCTCTCTCTTCCCCCGTCAGACACTGTCAGACTGAAAGGGCCCAGAATGGGTCGCACCCACCGTATGATTAAAAAAATCCGGTCAATGAACTCCACCGATTGCTCGCTCAGATCAATCAGCAGTCATGACTCTAGGATAGTATTCATTCATTAGGAATGGTCTATTATTTTTTGTTCGAGAGGGAAAAGTTCCGAACGCGCCGAGACCGTACAGTTCTCGGGTTGCCCCACGCCTTTGCGCTTTTACGTCCCCTGGATTCAAACGTCATTTTCCCAGCTTGTAATAATCTAGTCAGAAAGTCACTGCCGAACTCCCGTCTTCGCTTTTCTTCTCCCAGCTTTCCACATCCGCCGTGCACTGGTTTCTGTTTCCTTTGTTTACTTGGAGTTCCATATCCGCTCTCAGTAGATACTCTCCCTCCTATTCCCCCCAGTGCATCGTCGTCTACTCCAGCACAGACTGACTGGTTCGGTCCCTGACATCGAGCCTGTGCACGCTTGCCGGCCCGCTTCAACCGCCACACGGTTCACCAACTTGTGGTCGTCATGTCTGTAATCATCCATCTGGACCGGCCACATAAGCATTTCACCAATCTCGACTATCTCACGGGAAAGGTGGTCCTACAATTACACTCTGAAGCTGCAATCGGAGGCATTCAAGTAAAATTAGAAGGCGAAAGTCGGACGCGCCTGGCTGGTCCGAAATATCCACATAATGAGCAGTCGGATAAGAAACGTACCGAAATCGAGGTTCACAAGGTGCGAATCCTGAGCCATTCCCCTCCAATTTCCTCTTCCTCTTCCATCCGAGGCGCGAAAGAAAATGCTATGATAGACTTAAATGCAAGCGATACTGATTTTAGCTGGTGTAGATCCTGTACAAAGTCGAAACGGTTTTCCCCACTGCCGCAGTATTCAATGCAGAGACTCCAGACAGAGCTTATACATTCGCAAGAGGGACGTACGAGTATCCCTTCAAATTCAAGGTCAGTATAGTTCGCATGGTAATACCTGTGACATACAGAACTTATAGTGGCTGTGCAGTTCCCCTTCAACAATTCTTGCAGCATACACAATAGCATGCTTACGAACCTGAACATCACGGGTTTGAGGGTCGAAATGGCCAGGGACACCGCTCGCCATGTGAAGAAGACGCTCCCTCCATCTCTCAGTGGCTTCCCAGGCATGGCCGACATCAAGTACTATGTGAAAGCGACGGTTATTCGTCCCCAGTTCTACAAGGAGAATCTCAGGGCGGTATGTTGGTTTCATGAGCGATCGCTGCGAGAAGGTGATAATCTGCAGCATTCCAATGCTGATACTTGGCTTCTAGATCACCAACCTAAACTTCCTTCCTATCGAGCCTCCCAGGACAGGTAAACCGAACGAAGAAACTTATGCAAGACGACAACACCAATTTACGGATGCCCCGAATGTGTCCAAGAAAAGAAGCCTTTTCCAGAAGATGTCGAGCAGTTCGCTCCGGGACACTGCAGGCGGTTCCCCTCGCGTATCCGCTGACCTGCGGCTACCCAACCCAACAATTCTGACCTGCAATGAGCCTATACCGATGCGTGTCCTCGTCAAGAAACTGTCGGAGTCTTATGAGACTATTTTCCTGCAGATGATCCAGGTCGAGCTGATTTCTTATACCAACATCGTCGCCCATGACTTACGGCGCACCGAAAGCGGCACTTGGGTCATTCTCAGTCAGAGTAATATGGCTGTGCCTCTCGGCAGAGGCGGAGACCCAGTCGATACGGAGTGGACAATTGATTCTAGTTTATGGAGTGGTATACCTCTACCCAGTACGGTAGCGCCGTCATTCGAGACCTGCAATGTCTCGCGGACGTATGAGCTCGAAGTTCGAGTGGGCCTGACCCATGGAAGTATTGGGAACATGAAGGTAAGTCGTCAGCTGCACAATTCTAGACACTCTGCTCATAACCAATAGCCCCAACTTATCGTTCTTCCGCTACGGATGCCCGTGAAAGTTTACTCCGGCATCGCTCCTCCAAAAGCACTTCTGGATGCCATGGCGGCCAATGGTCAGGCCAGGCCAGTGGCTAGCCCTACAAGTCCCACCGGATCGATGGATAGCACACGCCCCCCAATGCCGCCTCGGCCTGCCAGACCTCCTGTGCCTGCCAATCCTGAGGACGGCTACGACGATGCACCTCCCAGCTACGAAGATGCCATGGCTGAAACTCTTAGTCCTGTGGATGGCCCCCGTCGAGAGTATAACCCACCAGATGCCTCTTCCGAAAGATCTGTTGAACCTGGAGCTGATCCGCGATCTCCAGTTGGAAAGGAACCTGAGGCGTCCACACCGTACGGCAACCAGGAGGCGATGTCCTCGTCGGAGACACTCGATATGCTGCCCGAAAGCCCACCAGAGTCCCGCTCTGGTTCACCCCCAAACTCTCCCGTTGCGCGTCAACAAAGCGTGCTCAAAATCCACAAGGCTCCCCTTCTGCTGGAGGAGGATAGCCCTCCCGAATATCAGACGATTGCAGCTGGCAAGCCGCAAGCATCCCATAGCCAGGTTAACCGTGTGCCGTCCCAGCCAGGAAGCAGGCCCATGAACCTGGGCGTTCCCAACCGGAAGCCAGTTCCCCGGAGTCCAAGTAGGCAAACCTGAAGTTTGCATGATAACGAGCTTCTATGTTGCAGCCGGGTGCATCTAATGAATTAGCACTGGGCTATTGAACCAATCTCAGTACAACATCAAAACATCCGTGTCGTTGCACGCATCTTTCCGGAGTTAACAGGAAACCTCGATGAAAGTTCCATGGATATTACTTTGCTCTTCGATACCACCTGATGCATTTTCAGTTACTATACAGGCGACTTGAATCATTTTAATCACTCACATTGTCATTTTATTCAATGAAATAATTTAATATGAGCAATATAATGGAACTGTCATGTAAAGCAAGCTATAGTGTGGCCGTAGTGAAATTGATTGATGCCTTAGGTGTAATGACCGAACAGGCTTAGCCCGGCCCAACATCCGCGCAGCTGGTCGCCGTCACACCTGCAGTTTCCTCCCGTCACTTTTCTACTTTTCTCTGGTTCACGCTTTCCACTCTTCGATTTATTACTAGATCTTTGCTGTGTTTTTAGCGCTCAAAATGTCCCTGTTGTGATCTTGCTTCGAGCTACAACCCCTTCGTGCGGTTTTCCCATACTTGTACTCATACTCCGACGCGACAAGCAAGTCGGAAAGCATCTCGCCGTTGTTAAGCAGTAACGCGACGGTTTGCTGCATGAATTTGTTTTGCTTTTCGCCATCATACTTATTAATTTTAATGAGCCGTTGCTAGTCCGACTGGTCCGAAGCAACAGAAGAGGAGCTTGAAACAAAATCTTTTAACATTCCATCCACCATGCGTCTCCATCTTATCATCCAGCGCCACGGCCTCCCCGTCACGCGCATTCTTTGGACAACGTCACCGCCGTCTCTTTTCGGCCACAATGCGCCCAGTGCTTCGTCCATGCTTCCTGCCGCATCTTCTGCGCTGGCTTCGACGCGTGCACCTAATGCGCTGTTTTCCAATGGCGGGTACACGATCGCGCAGCTCCTGGAAGATGTGAATGAGGTTATCCCGCTTGAGACGGAACCAGCTTTGTTTGATACGGAGTGCAGTGGACAGTGGGGTCTCGAGGATTATGTCGTCGAAGTTGGGGGATCGGAGTGTTTGCATTTTATGGAAGTGGAAGGCTTGTTGCGGGACGGTGATGAAATCCTGTAAGTGGTCGTCCCTATGCCGGTTGCCATTGTCCTGGCTCTGGCAAATTTGCTCTTGGATTGAAACTCATCAATTTCTTCTTCTGGCAGGATACGCGCCCTCCAAATCTCAGACCTTCGAGCCAGACGGCTTTCTGGTCGCCATCAAATATCGTCCGACGGCAAACACCTCATTGATGGAGTCCCTTTTGGAAAGCCATTCCTGAAAAGACCTACGTCGTCAAGGCCTGCGATTACGATCCCTCCGAGAAAGAAACGACGCACTAGCGCTGCGGGCTGGGACTATGGATCACGCTACGAGGAGGAAGATACCGAATGGGCGCCGAATAATCAAGTGGGCTTTGCAAGAGAGCTTCCTGTGATCAGGTCGAATGAGCAGCCGCAGGAGAAGAGGGGTGATGAGTACACGGACGCTTACCAGGATGATTATGAGGATTACCACGAGCCTGAAGAAGATGGTAATGGGACAGTCATCCGACATGCTATTGACGAGACTCAAGATCAAGCTTCGGAAAGTGACTCGGATGAATTAAACATCAACCCTGAGGACTTGGCAGAAGAGCTGAAGGGACTGGAGGAGGATCTGGAGATATCCCCTATGCCTATGGCGGAAGACATTGATGTTGAGCAAGCAGGCTATCCGCTGCGCTCCAGACCCAGTATCCATCAATCGGCCCCAAGAAAGAGCTCTTTGGCCCATCCATCTAGTCAAGAGTCTTCTATACCCGACGGTACTCGCAGGGATTCAAAGGCAGTGACATTTGAAGACCAGAAAAAGATTCCGTCTGTTGTGGAATCGAATGCTACCGTTGCCAGCAAAGTCATCTCAATCCCAGAGGATGCTACGGGCTCGGCTTCAGATACGAGCGATAGCTCATCCGCAAGCGACACGAGCGAGACCAGCGAATCTAGCGACTCAGAGGATTCCAGCAATGCAAGTGATTCATCTTCCGACGATGACTCCGGATCGGAAGCTTCCACATCTGATTCAGAAGAAGACTCAAGCTCTGACTCCGATGAGGACATGTCCACGTCTGAATCGGAGGACGAGCTTTCGGACTCTGATGTAGATGTGCAGTTGCGCACGAAGACCAATCCTCCGGGAGCGGGCTCTCTGAGAACCAAAAAAAGCAATGAGCGTAACAAGATGCGACGCAGGTTAGCAAAACTAAAGGAGCTTGGTGCCCTGCCCGCACAGGCCGATTTTGCTGCTCTCCGTGACTGGGAAGAGGCCAATGGACGTTCATACTACATTCCTGAAGATAAACACGATTCTAAGGAACAAGAACGTGCGGAGTTTGAAGCAAAGCGACAGAAGCTACTCCGTGATCTTGCATCAGGGGGAGTCGATGTCACTGAGGTGAAGCAAAAGGAAATTGCTTCTCCACAGAGCGTCAAGGCTATCGACCAAAAACAGTCTGCAACCGATATTGCCAATGGTGAAGATGAAGCCGAGCCACCTTCCAAGCGGCGTACTCTTGATGTTGCCAGCTCCAGGAGAATGCTCTTTGGCTCACTGGGAGTGAGAACCCCACGGACCAAAGAAGACGAGGAAGCTACTCGGAGGAAGCTTGCAGGCAAGGTCAACAACCAGGTTCAACCTTCAAAGTCCGCGAAAGAAGACACGGTTCAAGCGCCTGAAAGCGATTCGGAAGAGAACTGGCAAGACAAATTGATCCTCCGGGCTACCGAGTGCATCTATGACGATATTGAGCTGACCGCTCCGCCATTCCCCTTCGAGCAGCGCTGGGACGCCGAAGCTGGTGATATCATCAGGCAGCGCAAAGGTTGGGGCAAGAAGAGAAGACGGCGGCAGCAGCTTCAAGTTTACGATGGAGACGAAGGATATGAAAATGGCGATTACGGCTATTCCGTGGGCGACTATTCCGTCGGCGATTTACAACTTAACTACGATGATGCCGAGCAACCGAATGGAGACATGGAGGGGGTGGAGCATGCTGCAGAGCAGCCCGTAGAGGAGCAATTTGAGGATCCGGCAGACGACCTTCCTGCTCTGCCCAATGACCCAACCTCTCTACAGGACATGGGTGTGGATAGCTTGAAGAAGGGCTCGATCATTGCTTTCCGACAGCTGGAAATTTCCAAGGCTACGGGTTGGCAGCCCACGGTTTCGGGATACCGAGTCGCCAAGATCCACGAGGTCTTTGAACACGATATCATCAAAATCCGGTTAGCCAAGCGTGACCGACGAGAGGCGCGGGATGACCAGGACTGGGATGAGGAGAATGATAGGCCGCAGTACAGTGGATTTGAAATGCCCGGGATGGACGAAGAGGAGGACGACGGCTTCCGAGAGTTGTCATTCGCCGACCTGATTGAACCCAAGCTTCTCCGATCTGCTGACGCTGCAGGTCTTGGGAATGCTGGGAAATCCAGCATGTCAGTACACTAATTTCCTTACACTCGTCTGGCGTTCCTGCGCTCACCCGACCAAGCTCCCGTGCAACAGAGGAGCCCAGTCCAATCGAATCCAAAGCCACACGCGGGTACGAGGACCGCCAGCCCCCAGTGCGAAACGTGGAAAGGGAAGGGACTATCTCCGATGAGAAGTTATTGAACCAAAAGCCTATTGACCACACGGAGGGTTCGGCCGTGCTCTCTAGCCCCATCAAGTCACCGCATTTTGACGGGTTTCAGTCGCCTCCCGCGAACTTGACAACCGGGTCGAAAAGTAGCCATGAAGACCAGGTGTCCAGATCTACACCTCCGGCAGGACAGGACAGCGAGAATGGCCGGAACGGTCGACAGCCGGAGGATGCCCCCGAGATCAAGGACCCTCCATCGACCTTGCACTCGATGCTTCTCCCCGATGACGCCAATAACGGTGGTTCTGCAGCCAACGCGTCAGAAGACGATCTCCTAATGATCAGTAGCCCCGTGAGTATGATGTCTTTCAACTGCCTGATGGAAACGTACTTTCCCCCGGCGGTCAAGAGAGAGACATCCGCCGCGCCTGCTAAGGAAGAGCCTCGGTCGCCTTCCATCGTTCCCAATCCCTTCTACGAGATCGACAAGGCGGAGGAGGAACGACAGCGACGACAGGCGTCTCGCCAGGGGCGGCGCAGTAGCAACCCGGACGGTGGAAACGGGACGATGGAGCTCATGTCCCTAGCGGGATCGATGTCTCCCGTACCGAGACCATCTCCCCGAGTGAAATTACAAGCGGTGGAGGAACCGTCATCGATCAGCGTTGTCCCGGAGAGTGTGCCGCAGCCTTACCAAGACGATCCGGAGCCGTCACAGCGGTCTGAGGTGGTGGACCTGACACAATCGAGCCCGCCGGTGTCCCCGGGAGGTAGTGATGAAGACTATGCACGCTCACATCGACTTCCTCGAGGGTCCGGATGGGTACAGAAAAACATTCCTCGAACCTTACGGGTGACGCGACAATCACTGGGCCGGCGAAGGAATAGAAGCAGTTGAGATGACAGTTAATGATTTGGTCGGGAGTTGTATGGATTGGATAGGTGGATGGGCGGATGTACATGCTGTTTGTAAATATGATGATTCCCTACTGTTTATAATCCTTCCGGAGGATCCACGGGGTAATGCATGATGAGTTTCATTTGTCGTAATGCTTTTCTTTCGGAAGTATCTACTGTGTACTCCGTAACTTGTTCTGAATCCATAGTCCTGGAGGTCCCCACCTGGGAGGTGGATGAGGCCCCACTCGCCCGGATCAGTCTGACAAAACACAAGTGCTGATTGGTGGAGAGGGGGCCATGGCAGCGACGTCATTGACGTGGGTTGATGGACGAACCGGGAAGGCACGACTTCAACATTGACAGAAAAGATGAAGGAAGGCGCGACTGGTGGTATGGTATTATGTTGTATCGGGTGTGTTTTGAGGGTCTGATTCCATGGCAGTTCCGTCGGAATGGACGGGCTTCTTTATGTCATGGTTCTATTACTACTACTACTGCTACTACTTACTTCCTTCGAGTGACTTAACCGATAAATAAAGCTCCCCAATGCCATGGCATCATGAAATTGATGTCTACTTACTATTAATACTTCAATTCTTTACTAGCTTGCTTACTTACTACTACTAGTAGTAGTTACCTTTGCGTGCTTCTTTCCTTCCCACTAATACTACCTATCTCCCCTCATGCCCCGACCCCTCCTCCTCCCTAGTACTGCTGCTGCCCGTCAGAGCTTCTTCCTTCGTGCTTCAGCTCGTTGGTCCCCTTGCTGCCCCTCATCATCCTCGATTCAATTTCCCTCTTCATCCGCCCGCATCCCCCTCCGCTGCTGTCGTTGCAGTTGTCGCAACTCGGCTCTCTGTCGCTGCTCCTGCTGTGCTCACCCCACTTCGGCTTCTTCTAGATCTTTCACATCCTCTTCTTCTTCCCATTCCTCCTCTAATAAATCAAACCCCTCCTTTCCTCCCATCCATCCCTCCTTACGAGCACCATCCCTACGTGCACCCTTCTCCACCAATTCCCTCAAAATGGCCCAGGACTACAAACTTAAGGACATCACGTCCCTGGCGGACGTCAAGGACATGGACAAGGTCGAGTGTGAAGTCGACGGTATTCAGGATGGCAAGGTCCTCTTGGTTAGGTATAATGGTCAGGTTCACGCTATGACCCCTAAATGTACCCACTACGGTGCTCCTTTGAAGTTGGGTGTCGTGGCTCCTGAGGGGAGGATTACTTGTCCTTGGCATGGTGGTATGTTATTATCCTTACTGTTTTATTGTTGATACCCCAACTTGGGTATAGATGAGGATAAAGAGTTAACGTCGATGTGGTATAGCTTGCTTTAATGTCGAAACTGGTGATGTTGAGGATGCGCCGGCCCCGAATGCGTTGAAGAAGTTCGAGGTGTTTGAGAAGAATGGCGCTGTTTATATCAATGCCAATGAAGCCGATGTTAAGGCGGCTCAGAGAGATCCTGCTGTCAAGTGTAGTGCTTCGCAGCAGGAGAAGTTGGTCGTTGTTGGCGGGTAAGTCGAGTCATTTGAGGAAGTTAGGGTCAGATGTTAATGGAGTCTCTGCAGTGGAAGTGGTACCTTTGGTGTGGTCCAGGCGATCCGGGAGATGAAGTACAAGGGTGCCATCACTGTCATCACCCGCGAACCGAACCTCATTATTGATCGTACGAAGCTGTCCAAGGCGTTGATTGCGGATGCCGCGAAGATCCAGTGGCGGCCTGAAGAGTGGTACAAGGAAGCTTCTATTGAGGTCGCCCATGATGATGTGACGGGCGTTGATTTCCAGAAGAAGACGGTGACTACTAAGTCTGGCAAGTCGTACCCTTACACCAAGCTGGTCCTTGCGACAGGAGGTGTGCCGCGCACTCTCCCACTGGAAGGGTTCAAGGACCTTGGAAACATCTTCGTGCTCCGCACCATTCCGGACGTGCAGGCCATTCACCAGGCACTGGGCGAGCAGAAGAACAAGAAGGTCGTTGTCATTGGCAGCTCTTTCATTGGTATGGAGGTGGGCAACTGCCTTGCCAAGGAGAACGACGTCACCATCGTCGGCATGGAGAAGGCCCCAATGGAGCGTGTAATGGGCGAGCAGGTCGGCCGCATCTTCCAGGGTAACCTGGAGAAGGCGGGCGTCAAGTTTAAGCTCTCCGCCAGCGTGGACAAGGCGACTCCCTCCAGCAGAGATTCCAGCAAGGTCGGCGCAGTTCACCTGAAAGACGGCACCGTGCTTCCAGCAGATCTGGTCATCCTCGGAGTGGGAGTGCGTCCCGCGACTGACTTCCTTCAAGGCAACCCATCCGTTACCCTCGAGGAGGATGGGTCCATCAAGACCAATGAGCACTTTGCGGTCCCCGGACTGAACGACGACGTCTTTGCTATCGGTGATATCGCCACCTACCCGTACCACGGGCCAGGAGCAGACCAGGACAAGGGCACATACACCCGTATCGAGCACTGGAACGTGGCCCAAAACGCCGGACGCGGAGTAGCACGCGCAATTGTCCACAGCGGATCATTGCAATCCCTTAAGCCCAAGGCGTTCATCCCCATCTTCTGGTCCGCCCTGGGTGCCCAGCTGCGCTACTGCGGAAGTACCGTGGGCGGATGGGACGATCTGGTGCTGAAGGGAGAGCCCGAGAACGCCAAGTTCGCTGCGTATTACTGCAAGGGAGACACGGTGGTGGCCGTTGCTACGATGGGTATGGACCCGGTGATGGTCAAGAGTGCCGAACTGATGCGGCGCAAGAACATGCCGACCAAGTCGCAGATCCAAAGTGGAGTGGATGTGTTGACTGTGGGTGTGCCTGAGTCTGTGAGGATCTAGTTGTATTTAATTGGCCATGATAATGAATCTATTGCAATGAAAGATGGGTACTGTATAGTTTATAACGTGATATATATTCCGCTTCGCAGTAACCTGTAGTATCCTACCACCCACCTATGACTACTGTCGTTCCAACTGGTATTTGAACATCATACGCCTATTAGTAATATTTGAGAGCCCGAACTACACTGGTATAGATGTCTTAGACCAAGCAGCCTCTTTCAATGCGCATGGCTTCATGATCCCTGTTCTCTAACCCCTCAGAAGTACTCCAGCCTTGATATATCATCAACGACAACAACATGACAGGCATAAAATTAGATAAACCAAATATTTTTGATATTCCCATCTAACGCCAACCACAAACAAAGCTGAATACGATACACACGGATACACAAATATAAAAAGGAAAGAAAAGAAAGAAAGATACTATATAACATGCACACATACTTATAAACAAGTCAAGTTATTCCACCTCCCACCCCATCCTACTCTTATCATTCAATCAACACTTACTCCTTAGTCTTCTCCTTCTTCGAAGACTTGGACTTCTTCTCTTTCTTCTCCTTCTTGTCCTTCGACGAAGAAGACTTCTTCACCTTACTAGGCGACTCCTCCACATGCACATCCACCACCTCCGGCTCCAGCTCCGGCGCCACCGACGCAGAAGCAGACCGGATGGCCAAAGCACCAGACATGGTCGTCACTGAGCCTAGTTTTCTGGGTGTCATACCGGTAGATCCACTACCACCACCGTAGGAGCTAGAAGCAGCAGAAGGAGCGGAAGAAACCACGCCCGTCCTCTCCTCCTCCAGAACCCTCTTCTCCTCCTCCTCATCCAGCATCGTACCCTCAATGCTCAGGAATCCGCTCTCCCGCTCCGACCCAGGAATCACATCCACATCCACGACCCGGAACTTGATCGTGCCGCGCACACGGTGACCAGACACCGACTGGAAGTATCCTTCCGCGGCGGCGGTTTCGTCGTCGTCGTAGTCGCCTGTGGCATTGTCGTTGGTAGAGGTGGAAGTAGGATCCGTATCAGCGAGGGGGTTCACGTCCTCGGCGAGGGCGATGGGACGGAAGAGTTCTTTGGCGGGGTCGAAGGCAGATTTCTTCTTGTTTCCTTCGGAGGTGGAGGAGGAGTCGCTGTCTTCATTGTCGTTGTTGTCTTCCTTTTCTGTAGCGGAGGTGGTGGATGTCTGCTGCTGCTGTTCCTCTTCCAATTCCTCGCCGGGAGGAATCCACTTCCAGCTCGGGGGTAGACGTTTCCGTTCAATGCCTACGGAGAACAGGTTCAGGACAATGGCGCCCAGGAAGCCCTCCGATTGCACGTTCACCCATCCTTCGAGGATCTGGCCGCGCTGGGGCCGGAATACCAGGAAGGTCGCCGTGAGGTAGACGTACAGGACGCCGTATTCGCCGGCGGTGCGGGCGAGAGTCAGTGGTTGCGGGAGGTTGGGGTCTTCGGCGTTGACGATGTTGGTGGATGAGGGCGGCGGGGTGCTGGAGATTGAGGCATTGGAGTAGGCGAGGACGATGCCTTTCAGGGGGGTGTAGTAGGTGAGGAGGAGCGGGGAGAGGTGCTCTGCTAGCAGGGAGGCTAGGGCGTGGGTTGGCGAGATGGAGATCGGAGAGAGTGGGAGGTAGAGCGTTGCGGTGGTGAGGGTGTAGGGGGAGTCGGGGGTCGTGGGTTTGCTAGTACTGGTGTTGGTGCTGGTCTTGGACTGGGATTTCTTGCTGCTCTTCTTGCTGCTGGAGGCATCGCTTTCGTGCTTGCGCTTCTTCTTGCTGGGTGATGTGGTGTCCTTGTGTTTGCGCTTGCGGTCTTTTTCGGGCGAGGATTGTCTGGCTGGCCCTGTCGGGTGGGGGTCGAGGTCCATTGCGTCGAGGGCCATTGTGTCTATTGGGGAGGGGAATTGGCGGCGCAATGGAGGGCAGGTTGTGTTGATTGATTTGATGCCGGTGGAACTCGATGCCTTTTTTTTTTCCCTCTTGACTTTTTTTTTTCTTTTCGGATTTGCGAGTGGAGGCGGGCGGTGGGGTGGGCGGTGAGGCGGGCTTCTATCCGGAGTGGGTGTTTAGTTGGAGGCATAGAGATAGACATCTTCTGGACCAGCATTTTGGTCGTTGTCGCTCTTTGGTACTGCTGGTATTTGGTTACTGGTTTGATGGAGGCTTGAATATTGTCTGTTCTGTTGAGATATCATCCCGCCCATGTCGTCGCTTCTCTCTTTCTTCGGTTGGGCTGTCCTCCCAAACGTGAGTACCGTGTCCATTCCCTCCGCAGTTATATAAGCGCCGTGTTGCGCAGTACGAAATACACAGTCGTTAACAACACTCGCATCAGTATGTCACCTCCATCGTCCAGAGCGTCTACTATGGCATCACCATCCGTGCAGGTGAACCCCGCCCTCAGCCCGGCACTCCGCGCTATGCGCGACACCGCCGGCGCATCTACATCCTCGTCGTGACCAGCTACCTCCTCTACACTCTCTACGAGACCTTCCATCGCGTACAAGTCGCAGGCGACTTCTACCGTGCCCTGGGCGTCTCTCCGTTCGCCGATGAACGCACTATCAAATCGCGCTTCCGTCGTCTGGCTGCCCAGCACCACCCAGATAAGGCCGGCGGCGCCGTGTCCGACAGCTACTTTGTGTATCTGCGACTGGCGCAGGATACGCTCCTCGACCCCGTGAAGCGGGTCGCGTATGATATGTATGGCCCGGACATGCTGAATTGGGGCGATAAGAGGACCCTGCAGGAATTTGTGATGGCTGGGTTGCAGCGGTCCCTGCCGCAGTATGTGATCGGGTTGGTCACTATTGTGGTGCTGCAGTTTACGTATTGGTCGGAGTGGGGACGCTATGTGAGTTCCCTCATTTCCTTTCTCGTTCCTGAAATGCGGTCCTTCGACTTGGGCTTGGGTTGTATGATGGCTAACGGCGGTTGCTTCGTCTAGTGGCGCTACTTCACCTTCGCTGCGCTGGTTACCCTCGAGTCGATCCTACTTACACGTCCTACGGCATTATTACTCCCGTGGAGCTATATCCCCGCCGGATTGCAGGGTTTGCTGGGATTCTCGTCCAAGGGCCCCGAGTTCTATCTCCTGCCGTTTCAGATCCTGACGCTGGCCCAGCGTGCCTCGGTCACTCTGCACATCTTCATCTCGCAGGTCACGCCGCCGGAGATTAGTAAACGGGCGTCGTCTGCCCCGGGCGATCGTCTGCATCCGCAGACCATGCAGAAACTGGGTCAGCTGGCGCAGCTCTCTCGGGCGACAGATGGCGAAGCGACTCGGCTGCTGCAGTTGGGGTTTGCGCCGTTCAAGGGTGATCGTGAGGGCGTGACGGCGCTGCGGAAGGGCATGAAGGAGGCGTTGGTGCTGGGCAGTGTTCGGGCTAGTCCGGGAGTGCAGCAGGCGGTTGGGGAGGTGATCCGACGGAAGAAGCAGGGGAAGGCGGATTGAAGTGATGAGTTGAGGTGAAGTGAAGATATTGTATTTTCTTTTTTTTAAGTAGTAGAATAAATTTCTTTTCTTAGTGGAATATATATTCAGTTCGAATGGAGTGATGGAATAGTAGTAGTATGATTGTTGTAATACTCCCTACATTCACCCGGTAGATTAATCTGAACGATGGTGGTGTCGATCTTACACAATAGTAGTGAATTAATGTCCGGCTTAGGATTCAGCCATGAGGCGATCAAAATGATTAGCATCCTTATTGGCAGTTGCCGCGGTGAATGCGTGGCCTGTTTCACTCACAGCAATCCAGCCTATACATACTACTACTGTAGACATGTAGATACTACGTAGTGTAAAAATATATATCGTTGTTCTCGGAATCTAGAGCAGTAATAACATATATACAATAACCGTTCCAATACTGTTAACAAATAAATACCAAAGATAGTTGGCCATGGAATGGATTATGGCCAAGGCAAGGCAGCCTGGCCGATCGGGGCCAGATATGCTGGTTCACAGTTGAGGGATTTCATGGATTGAATCAAACCCTTTAGTGCAGCGGTTGTTGTTACTAGTTGGTTGGTTGGTCGATTGGTTGATTGATTGATTGCTCCGAGCACCCTTCTTACCCCCTCTTTTCTTCCTTGCACTTCTGTAGTAACTGAACCCCCCTGGATAGTGGCATTTTAGTGTACTACTCCGGGATCCTTGTTAACTAGATACTTGGCTGGAGGAGGGGGAAAATATGTAGCTAGATGTTACTAGTAAGTATAGTTGTTAGTTAGTAGATAGGTCAGTTGGTCTCTCCAATCCAAAGAGAAAGTCAAGTCATCTATGAATTTATTGTAATTCCTTCCTTCTATTTCCAAGATTTGGGTTTCCTTCTCTCGTCTTCTATCATGTACTGTTCATTCTTGGAAATAAGACTCAGCTGATGCACGATGCATGGTTTTTTAGTTCCAAAGTATACGTATGTATCTTAGTATCCTGCATCAGGTGTGCAAACGGATGGATCGATTGATCATCCAGAGTAAATAAAACTAAATTTGTTAAATTAAAATTGGATTTTTTGAACGCTTACGAATTAATGGGAAAAATTTAGTTCCCAGTGAAGGAAAGGGAAAGGGAATAAGAGGAAGGAAAGCCGGAAGCGGCTGCGGTTCGTTCGTTCTTTTTTGACCCAAAAGTCTAAGCGGCGCCAGGCGGGACGGGCGATCCATATTTTTTTTTTTTTTTTCTCATTCCCTTTCCTTCATTTCATTTTTTCATTTTCGTGATAGGAGAGATGGGAGGAAGAGGGAAGAAGTGAGTGGGAGAGAGGACCGGACTGGGAAGAATATGGATGAGAGAATGTGGCTGGTAGTGAATGAATGGGATTCTTGTATTCTGTTGGAGTTGTTATTTATATAAGTATTGTTGTATTGTTGGTTTATTGATTGGTATCAGTGTATTCAAATAGTAGTTTAAGAAGTGAATAGATGTAGTAGCTATTACTCTCATAGAGAAATTGCAGTTCATGGTTTTCATGGGTCTGAATGAAGGCATTCATACGGACATACGGCTCCGGATAGTCCAGGAGATGATGTGATGCGCGTGGTATGGTACTGGTAACCGTCCAAATGGGGGTGTTTTTGACTTGTTTCTGACCAGACAGGAACCGTTCTGTTGCTGGGTGTAGAGAAGCAACTTGGCTAGCTGCCACCGTAGTAAAGTGCTTATCTACTAGAGAACAAGACGCGTATCGGACGGTATGAAGACGCGGCGGTAACGCGCCGGACCCAGTAAAATGGGGGGATTTCTCCGTAAAGTACTCCGTTCCGTAAGGAAGTAAGTACGGAAAGGGCGGGCGGCGAAAGGGCAAGTCAGTAGGCAGTCGGAACTGACCTTCAGCTTCTCTCCTGGACTGACCGCACCAGAAAAGTCTGGCTTGTCGTTCCCTAGACGAGGAGCGTGAGAAACACACACACACCACAATGAAACCACCACTCGGCGCCTCGACATCCCCATCCATCCCTTTCTTCCCTTCCCCGTCTCCCTCCTTCTCTTCTCCTCTCCCTCCTTCCATCTTCCTTCCCCATCACCATCATCATCCTCACCCTCAACTCCACCTACACCACCACCGCCCTATCCTCACCACCGGAGTATGTCACCAGCGCCTCACGTCCACTGCCTCCCTCTTCAGCCCTGCCAGACTTTCGCCTCTCTCTGACCGAGTCTCGCCGCCGCCCACGACTAACACCACCACCATTCATCCGGTTCCCTTCCATCCCACCAACCAATCCCTCAACACCCACGTCACGATCGTCACTTAATTCTTCCACCTCCTCGCCCCAACTCAGTCTTGCGGCTTTATTAATCCTCACCCACCTCACCTTCGCCTGCGTTTGGCTGTGGTCTCTGCCTAAACAACCCGATCGGGGGGTCCCTTCTCATCTTACTCTCCTCCCAACTCCTCTTCGCATCGTCTGAAGGGGCAACCCAACCTATCTCATCAACTCCAACAACGATCTCGACGTCGAGACGATCCACCATGCCGGCCGCCAGCTCTGCCAGCTCCACCGCAAACGGTCGCTCCAGCCGATCTGGACCTTCCAAAAGGATTGTTGTCCTCAAGCTGTCTACCGATCTGCTGAGCCAGTTCGTGACACCACCGCCCGAGGGAAAGGACAAGAAGAGCAAACGGGGTAGCGTCAGCAACACCGACTCGCCCGTCAAGATTCAGGAGCCTTCGTCCCCGGCTTCCTCGTCCGCCGAACTACCTCTCCCTCCTTCGTCCGTGGACAATGCCTCCGATGCTGCATCCACCCCCGCCGCAGGCACCTCGGCTGCAGACACACCTCGCCGCAAAGGCGTTCCGGGCCCTAAGCCGGGCACCAAACGGGGCCTCAACCAGACGGGCGAGACCACCCCGAAGCCGAGAGGCAAGCCGGGTCCCAAGAAGAAGCCCCGACTGTATGTTCTTGAACCCGATCAATTGGTTATGGTGCATTTGCTAACTGCCTCTTAGTGATGACGGCACTGTCGACACTGCCAAGTTGGTGGCCGCTCACAAGCTCGGTCCCAAGGCCAACTTGGGTGCCATCAATGCTGGTCTACGCGCTCTAGATCGCACCGGGGCCCCTTGCCGTCGCTGGGAGCGTAAGCCTCTTCAGCTCAAGAGCTTTACCGGTATCCAATGGATTCTGCCTTCTTGGCGTACTCCCCGTCCGTTGAAGTCCGAGGAGAACGACGAGGCTCAGGGCATGGCTCTTGAGACTGGTGACAGCGACAGCAAGGCCAACCAGAGTGCCAGTGGCGTCCCCAGCGAGAAGAGCACTGGTGACGGTGAACTTACTCCTGCTCCGCCTAACCTGACGGAAGCGTCTTCTCCTGTCATCGCCATGACTGCTTGAAGAATCATGCAACCGCTGTTGCTTCCTCCACAAACGACATATTGTCCTTCCTGTACATTACTTTTTGACACACTACTACCTTTATTCCTTCGATGTTCCTGGTGATGGCTTTTCTGTTTCTGCACTTGCGTGTTACTCGGGTTGGCGTTGGGTTTGACGGTTACCGGACTTTATCAGCGCTTCACTCGCATGAGAGACGTATTTGAGGCTCTGGCATGGGGACGTGGCGGTGCATCCTGCACATTTCATGGGCTCTTTCTCTGTGAGCTGCTTGCTTGCTTTCACTGCTCGGTTTGCTTTTACTATTTACCACTGTTCTGTATCAGTAGAGATTTCGCTTATGGGCTTGGACAAGGGGTTGAGGGAATTTTCTTCTTTTCGGCGATTGGCCGCATATTCGAGACATGAATACCAAAATGGACTGGAATGGCAGCATTGTCTGCGTTGTCCCACATGAAGTTGAAGGCCGATTGTGCACCTGAAGGGCCGCACGTGCTCACTATATTCATCTAGACTAGTAGCTGTCTTATGTCCGTAGATAACCGGATGAATCACCATTCCATGACTACCCGCTAGGAAAGCCTTATTCTCTAGGCTACTATCAAGGGATGCTTGCCTCCGTCATTGCACTGTGGGATATATTTAGGTGATACAATGTGGCAGGAGCCGATGTTACATCCACGACGCCTAAAAAGCAAAGACGGGGGAGATTTCCGGTAGCCAAGACTGTCAGCATTCGTCGTGCTGCCCCCATCACCTCTACATACAGTAGAGCAATAGACTTCGTATCCTAGCTATGGAGTGAGTATCTACTATACTGTATACTTACTGACGAATTGCCTAGTCCAAGGATGCTCCCGGACGAAGGAAGAATCGTGGGTTGGACCGTCCCGGGGTGTGTTTCCCCCCCATGGCGCCAGAGCCGGGGGTGTTACACATACACAACCCTGGCATCATAGTCCCGCCCAGTTCTAGTCTAGACATACCAATATTTGACATCAAGAAAGAGTCTCCCCCACAATCCGTCCCATGGATAGGTAGAAAGGGAACGAGGAAATCAGTAAATGCTCAGCAGGTCGTCATTCCTCTTGGACCACAACGGATGATGAATGAATGAATGAATGAATGAATGAATGAATGAATGAATGCAAGGGCAAAGGGGGGTTAGAAACGCGGGGAGAATAGGCAAGAGAGGGAGGGGGAAAGAATTCTTTCCCCCCTTCTCCTCATTTCTGACAAGGAGCTAAACTAAGAGTAAATTATACCCGGGGATTTGTTGTATGCCTACCGGAACTGTCTTTTTTTGCTTTCTCTGTGGATGGAAGATCATGATCATGAGGAAGAAGAAGAAGAGGAGGAGGAGACAGAAGCCGAAGTCTTGCCCTTCTTCCCCGCAGTTTTCTTTCTCATTTGTATTAATAGGATTATTCTATTAGTGATAATAATAATAATTTAATATGAACTATGGCTCGGGTCAGGCCATCCGTCATGTTTCTGTCTGTCATACTAAAAGACTGACTGTTTCTACTTTTCTCCTTGGGTCACGCGAGGTGTGCCCTTTTGGTCATTCACTGCACGCGGTTCTTGTCCTTCTCTTTTTTTTTTCCCGTCGTGAGGATTTCGTTCTTTTGTTTTTCTTTTTTGTTTTCACTTTGTTGGCATTTCTGCTTGTTTTGATGTGAGTGAGCACGAAGCGCGTTTCTGGATTGATCGTTGGCTTCATGTATGTATCTCTCTCTCTCTCGTCTTCTACTACTACTATCGATCAGCCCTTTAGGGGGAGAGTTATGTTGCTCCACTTACGCTCCCCCGGTTACGGAAGTGCCCCAGAACTAACTAATACTCCACGAGACAGTGAGCCAAAGCCAGACCCGCGAGCAACGGGGAAAACGACAAAGAACGAGGGAAGTTCTGGTGCAGAGTATAACTGCTGATCAGCAAGAAACAAAAAAAAGGGACGAGCGAACAGAAATTTATCACAATCCACGGTGCAGATACAAATGGTACAAATGAAAGACATTATTTGAAAGTACTGGCTAAGTAAACTAACAGAGCAAGCGTTAAGTTAGTACCCGGCAGCGGCAGCAGCAGCAGCAGAAGTAGCAGCCATGACTGACGCATCGTTTCCCCCTTCCGGTGGAGCTCCACGAGCAGCTGCTGCTCTCACTACCTCAACTACTACTGCCTCCACTACTGCCGCTACTACCACTACTACCACCACCTCCTCCTCCACTCCTTCGACTTACAACTACTACTCCAACGTCCCCAGTATCTCCTCCATCCCCCGTCGGTCTTCTTACGCTTCAGTGCTGTCGGGGACCGCCGCTCTCTCCCCTCCCACCTTTAACAATCATCCTTTCTCGCCCTTCTCCCCCTCCTCCCTCTCCACCTCCACCGCCTCGTATCCCCCGCCGCCGCCTTTCTCTCCCGACGCCCGCCTGCTGAGGCCATCCGCCGCCGTGGATGCCGAGATGCAAATGAACTCCTCATGGAGGTCGTCGCCCGGCGATTCGCTTCCTCCTTACTCTCGGAAGTTTGCCAACCTCGCCCGCTTTGACCCTTGCTATCACAACCCCGGTGCATTCACCGACTCGGCCACACCCTCCTTCACCCCCTCATATCTCCAAAACTCCCGCTATGTCTCCCGTCTCGATGCCGCCCGTCGGGCAAAGCATGCAGCCCAGCGCGATGGCGCCATTCCCTCCTCCACCTCGAATAACCTCTCCACTTCCTCCAGCCAGGCTAGCTTGCCCCGGATTGCACCCTCCCATCGGGGCATGACCTATGATATCATCGAAAGAGAACCCCCCAGCGACGACGACCATCTGCTACCCCTCCCTTCCCGATGGAGCGACGACGACAAATTTACCGGCCTGGAGCTTGGAAACGGAGGGTTGGAAGTCCGATACACTGGTCCGGTCAACAAGCATGAACATGAGGCTGCTGCCGTTCGGGCAGATAATCCCATGCCCCCGCAGTGCGGGATCTACTACTTTGAGATCACCATCTTATCCAAACCCAAAGAGGGGTACGCGGAGGCCACTTTACACCCGTATGGTTCATCAGAATGCTGACTGGGAACATAGAATGATCGGAATCGGATTCTCGAGCAAGAAAGCCTCGGTAGAACGACTGCCCGGATGGGAACAGGAATCATGGGCTTACCATGGCGATGATGGGAAGTCTTTCTTCGGAGAAAGTCAGGGACAGGGACGACAGTACGGTCCGACGTTTGGGGCTAATGACACTGTGGGATGTGGTGTAAATTTCTCCACGGGATGTGCTTTCTTCACCAAGAATGGCGTGTTCTTAGGTACATCCATGCTGGCTGCTTCACAATGGCGAGAGTATTACCTCAGCTAACCACGACCAGGAAATGCATTCCGGGAGCTACGAAACCTAAAGGTCTACCCGTCGGTGGGCATGAAGAAGCAACCGCCCGTCCACTTGGTAGTGAACTTTGGGCAGCAGCCCTTCATGTTTGATATCGATGACATGGTCAAGGTAAGCCAACCCACGCACTATTCTTGTTTGAGTTGTAATGTAGCTAATAATCCCGGACAGAAAGAAAAGTCGTTGATCCATTCGGAGATTGCTCTGACCAGCACGGCCAATCTGCAACCCCCGTTGGATGAATCGGGCCTGCTGCAGGAGTTGGTGGCGCAGTTTCTTGCTCATGACGGCTATGTCGAGACCGCCCGAGCGTTTGCCGAAGAGGTAGCGGCAGAGTCGACGGCGTTGGAGAACGGTCGACAGGCACCGTTGAAGAAGTACGAGGTGGAGGAAGATGTTGAAGCCATCAACCGGCAGAGTATGACTGTCTACACCCTTGTAGCTGTTTTTTTCCTGTACTGATTGGCGACAGAGATCCGCGCGGCTATCTTGGAAGGCGATATCGACAAGGCACTCAAGTATACTAATGCCTACTACGCGAACGTATTGCAGACCTACCCGCAGATCCACTTCAAGCTACGATGCCGCAAGTTTCTGGAGATGATGCGTCGGTGCAACGAGTCGTCGCCGTCGCCATCGAAGCGCGGCAAGTCGTCGAATGGGTTGTCGGACAGCAGCGCAGTGTTTGACCAGGAGATGGAGTTGGACGAGCAGCTACAGGAAGGCGATGGTTACGAGGCAGACGGCATGGACATGGAGGAGACGGAGAGCACAGCGCGATCGAACGAGCTACTCACGGAGGCGGTGCAGTACGGGCAGCAATTGTTCCTGGACTATCCACCAGAGGAGCGGGGTGGGGATCGGAAGATGCTGGACGACATCTTTTCCCTAGTGGCCTACCAAGACGCGCGACGGTCAGTGCATGGTCACTACCTGGACCCTGCGGGACGAATTGCCGTGGCGGAAGAGTTGAACTCGGCCATTCTCGGTATGCTCATTGAAATCTACTGATAATAATTCAGTTACTAATGGAAAGCAGTGTCGCTGGGTAAATCCTCATCGGCCGCGCTGGAGCGACTTTACCAACAGACCGAAGTGCTGGTGAACGAGATTAGCGAGGAGGGCGGCGCCGGGGCGTTTATTAATGTGCGTAATGACTTTCTACTTTGAGCGGGCGATCTGGGTAGTCTCGGGAGTATTTTATGTGAACGGTTTGATTACATGTGGCATGTGAAGAAAGACTGTGTACCTGCATCTCATGATGGATTGATTGCAGCAGGGGTTTGAGTTCTTTGGGGGGGATGGCTATGCCTCTTTCCTTCCTCTCCCTCGGAAGGGAGAGAAGGGAAAAAAGGGCGCTGTAGGTAGTAGTACATACGACAGCAGACAGTGTAGGGAATAGCGGAATATGCAAATGCACACCGGTCCACTCTCTGGGCTTTCCGATGAAGAAGACGAGGCTGATGCTGATGCTGATGATGAAACGAGCCAGGAGAGGATGGAATTGGGCGACCGGATGGAGCAGTGGATGGAGACAGCCGGACCAGCTGGCACGGGATGCTGCATCCATCAGGCACCGACCAGCCTCCCTGGTTTGCCTTGCTTGC